TGTTTGGTGTGCTCACATACTGCACTCTGCAGCTACCGACTAACAGCCATATCACACACGAGACAAGACCGATATCAGGCTCGTCCACCCGCACGCCAAAGATGGAGACGAGAGAATATGTAAGCGTCATCTCGTCTAAGTTGTGCTGGATGATAGACTAACATAAACCAGTCCAGGGTAGCGTTTACTTCTACGCCCCTAACAAAGGAGCGCCGGTGTTCTTCGCCGTGGCCTCTGCGATGTCAGCGGCTCTACACACTTACAACTGCATGTAAGTGACATGGACTCACTACTTGATATGCAGAGTACGCGCAAGACACTAACATTAGCTAGACACGGCATTCCACATTGTTGGCCCCAAGATGTTGCGACGGCCTCCTGGCCATGTCGCCCCCCAGCCCAAGTACCTGCTGGCACTTGCCCTGGTACTGCTCCCGTGGCTCCCCCTCGCCGGTGCTCAGCAGCAGCACCAGCGCCCGCCCGTAGCAGCAGCCCACCAGCCCAGGTCGCCGCCCGAAGACGACCGACATGCCGCCTCCGACCTGGCCGCGGCTGCCGTGACGGGCCAAGAGGCGGCCGACATCCCCGCCATTTCCCAGCAGCGGAAAATTGTCAGGAGCAGGGAGGCAGACGACGAGGAACTCCGCCAGCGGATACTCGCCCGACTACCTCACGGCAACAACGACAACGATTATAATAACAATCACAACAACATTATTTACGACGATGTGCGCGCCCACGCTTTGGCTCCGGAACTGTCCGTTCGAGCACCTCCTCCATCACACCACAGAGGCCCCGCCCCTGGGGCCGGACTCTCGCAGCACGTTGCGCGGAGCCTGGAGGATTGGGAAGTGGAAGACTTCGTTCTTCTGGCGACCGTCGATGGTGACCTTTATGCCAGCGACCGGAAGACCGGGCAGGAGCGCTGGCATTTCAAGGCCGACCACCCCATGGTCGAGACCCGGCATTTCCGGACCAACCGGACGGTTCTGGATGATGATTACGACCCCATCGACCACTACATTTGGGTTGTCGAACCCACCCGGGACGGCGAGCTGTACCTCTGGAGACCCAACGAGGGCGGCGCCGGCTTGGCTAAGATGACCTTGACCATGAAGAAACTGGTCGAGGATCTGTCCCCCTACAACGACAAGCCCAACCGTGTGGTCTACACCGGGGATAAGAAAACCACCATGGTCACGTTGAACGCCGCCACGGGGACCATCATCAAGCAGTTCGGCTCGACTGGTAGCTATGTGAACCAAGTCGAAACCGAGAGCTGCTTTAAACCGAACGCGTTAGCGGACCGCGACGAGGAATGCAGTGAGGACAGCACCATCACGCTCGGCCGCACCGAATACACGGTCAGCATCCACCGCACCGACGGTCACCCGATTGCATCCCTGAAATACTCCGAGTGGGGCCCCAACACGCAAGATAACGACCTTCTCCAACAAAATCTCCTAACTAAGGACAGCCGGTACGTCACCAGCCAGCATGACGGTAAGATCTACGGCTTTGAGTACAGCCGCTTCCGTGAAGAGCGCCCCATGTTCACCAAGACGCTCTCGTCTCCCGTCGCCCGAGTGTTTGACGTCCTTCACCGCTGGGAATCCTCTGCCGGCATGGACCCGGAGCTCATTGCCTTGCCCCAGCCGCCGCTCCCTGCCAGCGACGAGGACAGCCTGCGTCTCCGCAGCGAGAAGGTATTTATCAACCAGACTGAGGACGGCGGGTGGTATGCCCTCTCAGGCAGTCGGTATCCCCTAATCCTATCGGCCCCGCTTGCCCCCATCCATCGTGTCGACTGGTGGCGGATCAAGGAATCCTGGGATCTGCTTCCGGAGTCACAGAAGTCCAGAGCTTTGGTCGGGACACATTCGCTGCCGGACGGGCTCGGATCCGATGGTAGAGTCCACGAGCCGCCCTCGCGGTTGCTGATCGATGCTCCCAAGACCAACCCCGAGGGCCTTATCGACGGCAACATCGCCAAACCAGTACCGCCACATCTTCCCCCCGAACCGGAACCGAGTAGAATTTTTGAAACGGCAAAGAGAGTGCCAGGCTTTGTCGCGACCAGAGTTTTTGATCTTGTCAGCAATCCCGCCGCCATCGTTCTCTTTGTCATCACGTTGTGGATGCTCTACAAAGATAAGCTTGTCCGCTTCAGTAGGGGATCGACGGGCAAAAGTATTGTCTTAAGACCGGAGATTGAGGTCAACCGTACGGTGCCAAGTCCTGCGGTTCCCACGGACGAGGCCCCTACTACCGTCCACCCGGCGGAACCCAAGGCAGAGGCTGCAGCACTGGATGTTGTCCCTGCTGACGCAATTCCTGGCGGCCTCCCTGCCACTGGTGCAGTCCCCACCGAGACTCTAGCAGAGGCAAAGGCGGACGCACCGCTGCCTGGTCAAGCGCCCCCTCCTACCGTCACCTTTGCGGACCCCCCAGCGATCCAGGAGCCGGCGGAAGGACCTGATACCGCCGCGTCTGGGGAGCCCGTCAAGAAAAAGAAAGGGCACAGGGGCCGTCGGGGAGGCGTCAAGCATCGCAAGGGCAACAAAGACAAGCGTGACAATTCGCAGTCACGCGATGATGATCCGCCAGAGGAGACCGTGGATGAGGTCATCACCAAGGCCAAGACTCTTGTCAAGGAGCCCAAGCTAGAGCCGGACATTATCACAATGTCCGGCGTCGCGGACGAGGTGTCGGGCCATGTGCTCAAGATGGGCAGTCTTGAGGTGAATGAAGCCGAACAGCTAGGCACGGGCAGTAACGGTACCGTTGTCTTTGCCGGAAAGTGGGACGGCCGCGATGTTGCCGTGAAACGCATGTTGGTGCAATTTAATGAGATCGCCAGCCAAGAGACGAGGCTGCTGAGAGAGAGCGACGACCACCCGAATGGTAAGTCGGTTCCGCTGCCACATTGGGCTCATGCTAACGCAGACAGTCATTCGCTATTATGCCCAACAAGAAAGGGCCGCGTTCCTTTACATCGCGTTGGAACTCTGCCAAGCTTCTCTCGCCGACATTGTGCAAAAGCCGCACTGTTTCAGGGAACTGGCGCAGGCTGGTGAGCGGGACATGCCGGGCGTCCTGTGGCAGATTGCCCACGGATTGAGCCATTTGCACAGCCTGCGCATCGTCCACCGCGACCTCAAGCCCCAAAACATCCTGGTCAACATGGGCAAGAACGGGCAGCCCCGGATTTTGGTTTCTGACTTTGGCCTGTGCAAGAAGTTGGAGGGCGGACAGTCCTCGTTCGGCGCTACTACCGCTCACGCCGCCGGAACCACCGGGTGGCGGGCGCCAGAACTCCTGATCGACGACGACGCGCCGGTCCCCACGTCCATGATCATGACGGACCCCGGCTCCAGCATGCACAGCGCGTCCGGCTCCGGCTTGGTGGAGGGTCCGGGGCCCCACAGCCGGCGCGTGACGCGTGCTATCGACATCTTCTCCCTCGGCCTAGTCTTCTTCTACGTGCTCACGCGCGGTAACCACCCATTCGACTGCGGCGACCGCTTCATGCGCGAGGTCAACATCCGCAAGGGAAACTACAGCCTGCAGCTCCTCGACGCCCTGGGTGACTTTGCCTTCGAAGCCCGCGACCTCATCGGGAGCATGCTCAACGCCCACCCCAAACAGCGCCCGACCGCCGTCGACGTCATGGCCCACCCCTTCTTCTGGAGCTACAAGAAGCGCCTGGCTTTTCTATGTGACGTATCCGACCACTTCGAAAAGGAGCCGCGCGACCCGCCCTCCCCCGCCCTCTCCCACCTTGAGACCCACGCCCCGGACGTCGTCCAGGGCGACTTCCTCAAGCACCTCCCGCGGGAGTTTGTCGACAGTCTGGGCAAGCAGCGCAAGTACACGGGCACGCGCCTGCTGGATCTGTTGCGGGCGCTGCGGAACAAGCGGAATCACTACGAGGATATGCCTGACACGCTGAAGAAGACGGTCGGGCCGTTGCCGGATGGGTATCTGGCGTTTTGGGCGTGCCGGTTTCCGAATCTGTTGATTGCGTGCTGGAATGTGGTCTATGATTTGCATTGGGAGGGGACGGACCGGTTCAGGGATTATTATGTCCCTGCGCCGCCGACGGTGTTGTAGGGGGGTTGTTGCGAAAATGACGTTGCAATTTGCGGGTTGGCAATTGCGCATGATACTGCCCCGGGGGTGGGAGTGGGTGGTAGGCGTGGGGGGGAGGCGTGAGAGGGTGGAAGGTGAATAGATGGGGGGTGAAAAAGGGGCTGGGCAGAATGGCGACCAGAAGAAATGCCAAAAAAAAAAAAAAAAAAAAAAAAAAAAAAAAAAAAGTAAAGGAGGGAGAGAGGGGGCCAGGCAACGAGGACATGGGATGGGGAGGACAAGGACATCAGACAACGAAAGGGCATCGAAGATGGTTCTGGTTCTGATTCTGTTTTGTGTGTGGATTTGAAACTTTGGGCGCTGTTTTGTTGAGTTGCCATGTTTGCTGTTTGATGGACAATGATATACTGGGTTTTGTAGTTTCTCAAGCGTAATATCTGTTTATGTAGTTTGTTATTGCGTTGCGATGTTCGAGCAAGTTCTTTTCTTCTCTCCCCAGTTAATATAGGGCAGTTGGCTTGGGTCCGCTCGATCAAGCAACCAATCATCCATTCAACGACGGGATGTATGTATCTCCCTACACTTTACAACACGAAACTATGATGATGTTGCATTTCCGTGGTTCAGATTGAGCAGGTGCAAAACGGATGGACGCCCACGAGCTGGAAGATATTACCTAGCTTAAAGCAACGAGCCCTCTCTCCTTTAGTTCAGAACCTTAAACACCGAGGCATAATCACAATTGTACCTCTTGTATTTGTATCCATTTCACCGCTTCGACAACGCCGGCCGTATCCAATTACCGTACCGATGGTGAAAGCATGCGTACCGTTTTAAGGTTGGTGGCCATACGCGCGTGGCATTCAGAACACGCGGGTTGTCTGTCTCCCTCGTCAGGGTCGATTCGCGGTCAATGCCAGGCCAAAAACCTGCCGAAAATAAGTAAAATGTTTCCGGGGAGGGGAAGGGGAAGGGGAGTTGTTGAAGGTTGGATGGATGCTGGGGAAAAGAGTTCTTTTGAGGTTCGACGTGTTGTTGATCGATGCCGCCGGGGGAGGGGGGTAGGGTAGAATCGGTGATGCAGCTAGAAGCTGTGGAATGTGGAGTAAATGATGGATGGGCTTGCCTGCGATGCACGACATCACCACCTAAAGCGACGTGACCGAACTCGAATGGCACAACAGCCAAACACCGCCTCAATTGCGTACCTCACAATGCTTAGGTACCCAGGTAGCTATGCAACCTAGTTGACCCCATGGTGTTATCACCAATGGTGGTCCAACTCACTCAGAATCTCATACTCGATCGAATCCAACGCCGCCATGCCTATGCCAAGTTCACTCACACCCCACACACACACACCACACACCCATCTACCTCTCCCATAACCCATACTGTGGCCTGCTTTTTAGGTAGCTACTATCCAGCTCAGCCTAACCTAGGTACTAAGTACTAAGTACTACCCCCACTGCACCAAAACCTGCTTCTTATTCTTCTTCTTCCCTCCACCTCCACCTCCACTCCCACTCCCAGTCGCCCCTCCCTCCGCCTCCTCACCACCACCCCCCGCTCCACTCCCACTCCCACTCCCCCCTTGTCCTTGCCCTCCTCCTTGCCCCCCCCAACTAAACCCCGTCTCCCCGCCCCTCGCAAACCCAAAATCCCTCCTCACCGCCCCGCGCCCATACCCACACGCCGTCGTCTGCGGTTTCGGTGCGGCCGGCAGCGCAGGGAACGCGTCCTCCCCCGACAACCCCCTCGCACCACCACCACCACCAGTCTTCCTCCCTCCTCCACCTCCGCCACCACTACCAACAGAGGGGGAAGCAGCAGTCTGCCTCGGCGCGGGCCCACCAATCCAACTCGGCTGGCTGCTCGTCTGCGGCGAGCGGCCCGGCAGGGCGGGGAAGGCGGCCGCTGATGCGAGGCCGCGCGAGGGTGGGGAGAGGACGGACGAGAGGTTGGGCGTGGTGGTAGTGGAAGCGGAGGCGGAGGCCGGGGTGGAGGAGGAGGCGCCGGACGCGGCGGACATGACGGAACCGATGCTGCCGCGGCGGGTGCTGTTCTTGAGTTTGAGCACGCGGGTCGAGTGGCGGAGGTGCGCGGCTGCGGCGGCGGCGGCGGCTTGGGTGTTGTTGCGGTTGGTGCTGGCGTTGCCGCGGCTGGCGGAGGCGGCGGCAGCCCAGCCGGTCGTGGCGGTGGTGGCGCCGTGCATGCCGTCGAGGGAGGGCAAGGACGGGTAGTCCTCGTTGATGGCGCGCCAGTTTTGCCAGGCGCGGCGCAGGGCTTCGGCTTTGGTCTTGTCGTCGAAGAGGTCGGCTACCTCGCGGACGAGGGTGCCGAGGGCGGTGGAGGAGGTTTCGGAGAAGAGGGAGAAGAAGGCGGTGATGAGTTGCTCGGGAGTCATGGAGCCGCGGTTGTAGGTGGAGATGTGCGTCCGGAAGGTGGCCATCCTGGTGCTGTCGTTGCCGAGGAGGTTGGCGGCGCGCTCGATGACGGCGCCGTGCCGAGTGAGACTGGCGCGTTGTTCCGGGGTGAGCGTGGAGAGGTCGGTGATGCTAATGTTTTCCATGGCGTCGATGATGGGTTGGCCAGCCGGAACCCGGGATTGGGCCGCGTTGCTGGCTGTTGGCCGCGACGGACCAGCGGCAGGCCGTGCTGGTGTTGGTCCCGTTTGGAGCGCATCTGCCGCTGGAAAAGCGAGCTCATCCCGCCTCCACGGCTGCGCCGAGCTGACGGGTAGAGCCTCTGCGTTGGGATCTGGACCGCGCCGGCCGCTGCTCCCTTACGTTGCCCCCCCCCCTCCGGTCCTGCTCGTATCTCTGTCGCAAGTCGAAGTTGGACAGGTCGACCGTCCGGGCGTCCCTTCCCTTCGCGAACGAGCCACCGTGCTCGCTGAGTTGGTGGGCCTTAAGGTCCATTTCGGACTCGAACACGACAAACTTCTTCTCTAGGCATTCGCGGTCCGAGCACATAAAGTGGTCCTTTTTGAAGTGGTCCTCGAGGGCGTTGTAGTCTAGGTAGTAGTGCGGTTGGCGCGAGTCGCGGCGGTCGCAGAGGAAGCACCGTTCGTGCTTGACCCGGCAGTGCTCGTACAGCTTGTCGCTGTCGTAGAAACGGGCACCACAAAACCCGCACAGCGGGTGTCCCCGGAAACCGGTCTGGTCGACGGCACCGGGCTTGTCGTCGCCGTGGCGCATGTGTTCTGTGAGCTCCTTGTCGGCAAACATGTCGTGCTCGTGCGTAAATACTTTCTTGTTGCGGGTGCATAGGTCGCACATCTTCTTGTGGTGTTCACTCTTGACGTGGCGGTGCAGGTCCTGCCAGCCGAGGCCCGCAAAGTCGCACTCTGCATCGGGGCAGTTGTAGCGGAGCAACAGAACGGTGTCGCCCACAATGTCCTCGCCGGCATACCGGATGCCAATGTTGTTATCGGTGCTGGTGATCTCGGCGTCGGTGTACTCTTCGAAGCGCTTCGTTCCGTCGTCGGTGAAGATGACAAACGGGGCGGGTGTCTGAACAGCGAGTCAGCGGTTTCCACTTTCATGACCGGATTTCGGGCGCCTTACCCGACAATGAGGGCAGTCCTTGCTCTTGTACAGCGCCCTCAAGCGCAGAGCGCATAGGTGGCATGTGATGTGGTTGCAGGGAGCGACCGACTGGTGGATGATGGGGTTGGCGCAGATGAAGCAGACCTCCACCTCGTCATCGCCGCCCTCCTCCTGTGTGTCATTCTTGACCTTGAAGTTTAGGATCTTCCCAACCTGTGGTGGCTTCGGCTCTTCGGCGGTGGGTTCTGCTGGTGGTGCTGTGTTCTGTGTGTTCTGGTGGTGCGCCCCTCCTCCTCGACCCCTCCCTCTGCCGCGCCCCCTTCCACGTCCGCCGCGTCCCCGACCCCGGTGGCCGTCGCCTCGAGGCCCTGAAGGCACGTTATCTGGAGCGCCGCCGCCGCCGTGTGCTGGCTCAGCCGGTGGAGCTGAAGCCATACCGGATCTGATGGTCCCGTTTGTATTTTCTGGGATGCTGGAAATGTTGTGAAGCGGCGCCTTTGCCTCTATTGTTGCTCGCAAGATGCACGAAACCGTCGAGATGGTCGTTCTTGGGCCGTGGCTCGCTCCTAGGTTGGTGAGATGCGCGTGAGGTCGGGAATTCGAAAAAGATGTGGACGGCAATGGAAACCTGTTCGAAGCTTGCAGTTGTCGGGATGGTGGGGTATTTTTAATCAGCAAACGGCGGATTCTGCCACCACATGGGCGAATGTTTCTTATAGCAATGATTGGCACAACCCTTGAAGTGGAGTCTCGCTGCGGATCGAGCCGACAAGGCCGGGGTATCGACCACAGGCACTCGCCGTGTGTGTCACACCTGCTGGTGGCTCAGGAGCTTTGGTACCCCACACTTTTTTTTCGGAGGAGGAAACGCAGAAGCAACAATGACGGGAGTTGCAAATCTCGTCTCGTTACATGGTCTGAGTCAGGCTGTCAGCCCAAACTGCGCCCCCAACGCAGGCAACTTGCAACAATTATTAGTGGTCAAAGCATGACCGAAGTATGGCGTCACTCTGAGTCGAGTTGAAAAGAAAAGAAAAAAAAAAGTGTGGCGGTGCGAAGTCGCAGCAATTGAGTTGACATTTAAAGGGCAAGCGGACGCTCTAGTGATTTGGAACTTGGAGGCCCGGGTCCAAGTGGGAGGGTCTTAGGACGGTATGTACATATACAAATACATGGTCCACGGTTTGATCCATCTCTTGTCTCCTACTAAGCCTTGGAGCTGCCTCCGGAAGTAATACCCTCCAGGAAAGAGGTGTAGGCCGCCTTCTTCTGGTAGTTGCTGTTCCAGAGCAGCGCGTCGCCCTCTCCTTGGAATGTGTTGGGAACCCACGAATATCTGTCGGTAACGCCCTGGTAAGTTAGAAAGGTTAGCGACTATCCGAGTTTACATCGTGATCTAGACCCATTATCTACATACCCAGATGGTCATGCCCACGCAGCTGGGGACATTCAAGCAGGCCCGCGCGACCCGGCCGTAGGCATCGGCAAGCTGCTGCAGCTTCTGCGAGTTGGACGGCGTGCGCATGCGGATGTCAATCTCGGTCCAAGCGACCTCCACACCCAAATCAGCCGTGACCTTGAGTGCCGCCGTGAGGTCCTCCTCGGAGGGGGTGGGCGTCGACTGCGTGGGCGTGCTCTCGGTCGTCAGGTGGCCCTGGTAGGCCGACGCCGTCGATGCGCACACCGTACTGCTGGCATAGCCGCACGATGCGGGCCGCACCCTCAACCTTGGGGCCCAGGTACGCCAGGATGTAGTCGTTGTAGTAAAGCTTGGCGGCCGGGTCGGCGGCAGCAGCGGCCCGGAACGCGATCGGGATGTACGCCTCGCCGATCACGCGCAGGAAGACGTTGTCGCGGTAGGTGCCGTCCTCGCTGAGGGCTAGGAGGTGTCAGCTAGGTCGTATACCTCGAGGGTGAAGAGATAGAAAGATGGGGAAAAATGGAAGGAAAAGAAGGAGAAAAAGGAGAAAAAGGAGAAAAAGGAGAAAAAGGAGAAAAAGGAGAAAAAGGAGAAAAAGGAGAAAAAGGAGAAAAAGGAGAAAAAGGAGAAAAAGGAGGCAAGTCAACGCAGCCCTTTCCCTAAACTCACCCTCGTTAACCACATCCCAGTGGTTGCACCGGCCCTTGTACCGTCCCATAACCTGGTTAATGTGGTTGGTCATGACCTGGATCAACGTCGCATTGTTGAAGCCGCTGTTGGAGACCCAGCCTGGCAGCTGCGAGTACCAGACGAGCGTGTGGCAGCGGACGTGCTTGCCGTTCTGCTGCGCCCAGTTCATGTGCTGGTCGGCAGCGCCGAAGTTGAACTGGCCGCGGTTGGGCTCCGTCGCATCCCACTTCTGCGCGTTCTCGGGCGTGATGGACCCGAATTCGCTGCGGATGATGTTGGACTCCTGGTTGTCATTGCGCACCGTGAGGGAGGTACCGATGTACTCGCGGCCTGCCGCCACCATGGCCGCATTAAGGGTTTGCACCTGGCGGTGGAAGAGTCTAGGTGGGTATTAGCTTTGCTCTTGTCCGGCCGCTGGTCGTAACGGGGTGCTCGGTACTCACTCCTCTGCCTGGTGGTTGAGAGGCAGGGGGTTGGCGGCCGCGAAGCCGCCAAGGGCGAGGGCAACGGAAACAGAGAATTTCATCGTGACAGCTGGGCAGTACAGTCTGAAAGCTGGGCTGGAGCACATTGTGATTTTTACAGGGCACATTCCCTGATACTTATACAACAGCCCTTCGCCCCCTGGTCCGGGGCCTCTTGAACCCCAGGATGCGGGGGAGGGTCTTCGGAGTGGCTCAACATGGCACTGAGGAGTATCGTGAGACGGTGCTGCTATAGTTGAGTACCCACCGAGTGGGTGAATAATATGGTTAAATCGGCTTCTGGGCCCCCTGTCTTCACAGAGCCGCAGCCGCACCATACAAAACCGGGCCAAGCCAGCCCAAGCCGGGTAAACATGACTTCAATCCCTTCAGGCTGGCTGTGGAAGTAATATCGCAAGCCACGGTTCCCACGTTAAACCTCACCCCCAGCTACGACGGAGTGTGTAAATGATCGGGAAGCACTCTCCCGCGGGAGGGAAATCAAATTGGGGGATATTCTCGCCGACCGATATGGGCTTGGCACCTCCTCGTTCGTCCTACCTATGCTTCCACTCCATAGGTACTCTCCCGTTCAGGGGTGGCTAACTAATGGCGGTGTTCGAGCTATTATTGTGCCATGAGTTGGTTTCAGAGCTAGTAAAGCTCCTGCTGCTGTTGGAAGCTCGTCACACTACAGAGAAAACCAGAGCCATGAGCGAGGAGTCTCAAAATTAGGATAACTATGCTAAGCGTATGTACAAGTACTTTGCAGCATCATATTCCGAAGCAGCGCATAGCAAGAAGAATATATCGAATGCCCCTCCTACATGTTTACCTCTAACTCCTGCACATGAGGGGCGCCTTCGCTCCCTACGCTTCCTAACTCTCCCAAGCCATCAAAGGGAGTTCGCAGGCACGGAGCCGAGATGCTCGTGGATATTTTTACGATCCCTGCGATGTCGATCAATTTACACTAGGTGCCAGGGTGCATATCCCTGCATGGGATCGCCCGGCTCGAGACTGAATGATGGTTGGCCCGGGTAGCCGGGATGGATTGAACGGAACCTGATGTGCCTATCGGGGACATGATCGCTAACGGGTCCTCCACAAATATTCGTGCCCTCCTCAAAGCTTCTACCCCGACCTTGCCCAACCATTGATTATGTAGCGTCATGGGGTTGTTCCAGAAGAACCTGCATTGTGAGATCGGGCGTTGTGCTGTTTCTATAGGTCGGTGTGCTTACTAGTGAGAGCCTCATGTAACTTCGCCACCACCGCCCCCCGCCTTGGGTGTGAAGGCGCTGTTGGGGGCATGATATTGGCTGTAGAGGCGGTGGCTTGACCGCCTGGAAACCGCCTACCCAGTATGCACAGCCCCCCTTGTGCGACCAATCCCCTTCAAGCGAGAGACTCGTCAACTGCCTCGACATGTGTCTCTTAAAGAGGAGTGCCCCCAAGCAGACTATCGAAATACGCCCTTAGCCAACTTATTCTTGGCCCAATCTCCGAAGTCTCAAGAGTGAACCCAATCACCGAGCATGGCTCGAGAGCCCCGCCCTTGCTCGTGGTCCTGTGACTTGAACACCTCAACTTCGAGAAGTAAAAATTCGAGAGAATTCCGAACGGTAATATCCATGATATCTCTGATATAAGGCAGAGCTGACATTCTGATTCCCATTAGCGGACTACCCAGCTCATTCGGAATACCAGCTCTCGGGTGTGTAACTACCTACCTAATACGCGGTTTCGAGATCATCACGTTGACCACATCACCCGTTGTAGTTGGCCTCGGCGCGACAGACAACCGAATCTCTCGTCCAAACCCGGTCGGCCGGTGTCAGCAAGGAAATAATAGCTACAGTCAAACCCACCTCAGGGATAATCCTAAATCGAGAGGAGTTCGAAAAGGATGATGAGTTGGAAACCGATCTGGAGGCTTTTGCAGAGCTCAAAGAAGACAGCATAGGCCTCAGCAAGGTTGACGGTAATTGGGAGAGTCATTCCAAGCAAAGTTTCCATGACCCGGAGGCCCTCGAGGACGGCGAATCGGATGAAACGGACCTTAGGTCGCGTCTCGAAGCTGGGTTTGTGAGAGGGGAGCATGGGAACAAGTTCCTCCCGGCCAAAGAGCTCGACAAGCTGTTGACGGAACAGGTCATCAAACGGACGATTCTAGCAACCCATCTTGAGAGCCCTATCCTGGCCGAGATTCTAAGCGCAACTCGCCCCGGAGTTTCTTCTTCGCATTCCCTGAGGAAAACATTCGCCGTTCTGACACTCCTAGACAGACCTGGCGATATCTCGCAGTTTCTGTCCAACGAGCTTAGGGATGCGAGCCTTCCGTTATCAGAGAAATTGCTAAAGGAGGTCTGGCCGGGGGATGTCGAGGCGGCGGCGGAGTTTGAGGAGATGCAATGGCAGGTCCTAGCCCCCGTCTTCAAAACCAGCTCGGGGGATTCACCCAGAGTATACCACTATTCACTGGACGACAGGACCATCCTCCCCTTTTATTCAGATGATGGCGACGCTCCCATTCAAGGAGGCTACGGAAAAGTACACAAAGTTAAGATTCACGAGTCGCATGTGTCTCCCAATTTCTTAGCCTCCGGCGTAAGTTTTATTCCCAAACCTTATGCACCTAGATATGATATCCTTGGTTGACAATCTCTTTCTAGGTCAAGGACGGTTTGTTTGCACTCAAGAAGCTCCACAAGAGCCCAGGGAATGATCGGGCCTTTGCCCGCGAGCGCTCGTCTCTTAGACGATTCAGCGGCCTTGGGGCCAAAGACAACTCACACGTGATCAAGCTACTCGCAACCTTCGAGGACAAGGACACATATTCTTTCCTTTTTCCCTGGGCAGAAAAAGACCTGGCCGGATACTGGCAGTCCGAGCCAACCGAACGCCATTCCGGCGCCACTCTGACATGGATTGCAGAGCAGTGTCTGGGTCTTGCTAAAGGCTTGCAGTCCATCCATGGCCTAAATGGCCGTCACGGGGACATCAAGCCCGAAAACATTCTATGGGTTTCCGGGGATGCTAAAGCCGGCTCCGCCCAGTCAGGTGGTACTTTGATGATTTCGGATTTCGGACTTGCTCGATGGCATAAGGGGCAGTCCAGGTCAATACGACCGCAGAAGCTTTCCGGTACCCCGACCTACAGGCCCCCAGAGTGCGATTTAACCGATGAGCCCATCTCAGATGCCTGGGATACCTGGTCTCTAGGATGTGTCTTGCTCGAATTCATCACATGGTACGTGTTGGGATCTCAAGGGGTTCTGGCCGATTTTCCCAGGGCTCGCACCCAGACCTTGTCCGTGGGACAGCCTCGAGATATACTAGACGATTCTTTCTTCACGCTACAGAATCAAGAGGGCAAGGTTTCTCTCATGAAGTCCAATCTGAAGCCGTCGGTTAAAAATGTGAGGATCAAACTTACCCTCTCCTCTCTCACTCCTACTCGCCCCCCATCTCGCGCTGTTAGCCTTTATCTAACCCGAATTGCTTCGCTGTAGCAATTCCAAAACCTTCGTCAGCACCCATTTTGTTCCAAGTTCATCAGCGATTTCCTCGACCTGATCGAGTTCGGAATGCTGGAAACATTACCGGAAAAGCGCTTCGATTCCTCGTATTGTGTCCAGGTGTTGGAGCCGCTGCGCTTGAACTTGGACCTCGACCACAATTACGGAAAGCCACAAAGCGCCATTACATTGGAGATGCCGCCACTGACAGGAGGGAACCGCCAACGGGAGTTCGTTAACCCTGAGCAGACGGAAGGCCCTCCCGGCTTCGCTGTAGCGGAAGACACGGATCGACTCGACTTTACCTTGCACGAAACAACCCCCTCGGAGAAGCTAGGATCTCGCTTTGATACCTTTAGAAGATGGCTTGATAGGCAGGTTGGCGCCGAAGTTGACTGGTGGCCCCTCCCGCGAGTACATCAAGAACTTCCACCAGGCCATATGAGGCTTTCCTGGGTTGTGAGTATTCAAGATGAAAACGGAGCGAATAGGCAACTGACTGTTGGCAGTATGGCGGACAGCAAATGTCCATAACCCTCGACCCAGACAGCGCCAGACGTTGGCGTAATGGCTCGACCAGGGGCACGACTGGAAGCACGCCTATCCTGCCGTCCTGGGGAACTGGAACCCCCTCAACCAGCACACCCACCAGTGAAAAGCCGCCCCCCTCAACAGCCACAACAATCCATCACCACCTAGCGGCGCTCTGGAACTGGACATCCCGAAAACCTCCAAACCCCAGCCCCAAACCCCCTCCCACCCCTCCCCCCGCACCAACCTTTTGGCGCGAATCCTACCTCTGCGCCGACCGCAGCTGGACCAGCGCCCCGGAAACCAAGCTCAGCACGCTCTCCACCATCGACAGCATGGCCGACGACCACGCCCTCTTCACGGAAGCACGCCGCGTCCTCAACCTCGCCCAAGGCAACCGCCTGCAGCGCTTCTTCTCCTGGCGCGCCTACACGCGCGTGCAGCTCTCCCAGTTCCACTTCCTCTTCGACAACAGCGACTACGTCAAGACCTTTTCCTACCCCACACTCACCAACCCCAACATGGCCATCTGCGCCGGCTACGAATTCACCACCCCCCACCACCACCACCACACCGTCCCCATCCCCACCGACATCCACATGCAAATCATCGCCGAGACCATCCTCCAAGGCCTGCGCCACCCCACCCTCGGCCGCAACCAACGCACCGTGCTGGGGGGCATGCCGAAGCGGCGGGCGCCGCCGGGGCTGCGGAAGCAGGCGCTGGCGTCAGGGTGGGGGTTCCATGCGGGGCGGGGTCCGTGTGTGGTGAGGATGGGGGCGTGGGTGGTGGGTGTGGTGGGGATGGGGTTGGTGTTTGTGCCGGTGTGGTTGGGTAGGGTGAGTGAGGTGGATTTGCAGGGGGCGTTGGCGCCGGGGGGTTTCTTGGTGACGGTGTTGGGGGTGGTGGTGGCGTTGGCGTGTCTTGTGAGGGAGGGGGGAGGGGGTTGAGGGATGAATGATGAAGCTCCGGTGTGAGGTCTGGGTAATTATGGTGGTGTTTGATGGAACTGAGAAGGTACCTATTGTTACATACCTACCTTGGGTTACCACGGTAGGGGCGGCTCTAGTGTAGCTGCATTCTTACTAGGGTGGATGGTGACTGGCTACATCCGCTCCAAGAGTTGGGTGGCTGGGGGTGGGAACTGGAAGCCCTCCGGCAGTATTAGAAGGAGCCGGAAACGGTGGGATGGACTTGGGGTTGGTGGTCTCCAACCATCTTGCTGGGCCGTAGCCAAGTGGCAAGGCCGCCTGGGACGCCTCCGTCTCCTCACCTTCGAACTGTTTGAGAAGACTTTCTCTCCACACTTGTAGGGCATCGGGCGGCTTATGGCCAACCCGCTGTCGGTAGGTCCCGGGACAGGTAGAGTAAGGTATTATAGCGATAAGTAGTCCTGGCTGAAGAGGGGATCGCAGTGGTGATCTGGTGGGATATGCTTATTAAAGCCTCGACCGAAAAAATGAAGAGTCTGTTAGTGACATATCAACGAATTAGGCTGTCTTACGCAGGTAAGACAGGAGACGAACATCAAACGTTGCTCCCCATTACAAGCTAACGTTACCAACATCACCTCAGCACACAAGCCAGTTCATTCGCCATCACACCCACACCATCACCCACACGATATTTTCAAACTATCTTTTGCTTACGTACCTACCTCAAGAGTAAACATCAAGGTATGTACGCGCCGCCGCCCAACCAACCCTATGCTTTTCCCCCGCGCGCCGCCCGTCCCCCGCTGAGAGAGCGGGACAAAAAAAGTGTAAGAGAAAAAAGCCAACCCTAGAGGATACAAAAATAACCCGATGCTATGCCAAAAGAAGGCAGCCCAAATCGCCCGCTTGTCTGCCAGCCGCGCTGTCGCGCAAATTTCGCCAGCGCAGGGCCATTTTCCGCCCTGTTCTCCACGTGCTTCTGCGTGTCCGCCGACGTGCGTCCAAAAAAGGCCGATTTCGCTGATGAGTTATGCCAATAACCGAGGTATAAAAGAAAAGAAAAAAGGGGGTAGATATGCCGGAGTGTTTGCGGGACACCGAACCCTTCCGTCCCCGAAATGGACGGGGGGGAAGGGGACCGGCATCGCTGATCTGGGGAAAGGACGGGGCAGTTGATATCCCGGGGGTCCAGTGTGTGAGCAGAAGAAATGGAAAGGCATTACCGCGTCACCCCTAACCCTGCCCTGGTCCTGACAGAGTACCCTCAGATGCTGTGTAGGTTGGCCGACTAGGTCTCCAAAAAATGGAGCTGCTGCGGCTTGTCCTGCCGATTACTCTTCCACGGGGTAGAGTTGGTTCCCGAGGAGCTTGTTCATGGAGAACATGTTGATTTTATCCTGCTTGAAGACGGCGTGGAGCTTGTCGTCACAGAGGATCTGGCGCTTGTCGCTGGGGTCTTGGAGGCTGTTACCCTTGATGTAGTCCCAGAGCTTCTTGACTACTTGGGGACGGGATAGCTAGGGCACGAAAGGTCAGCTGGGTCCGCCAACAAAACAGAATGAGCCATCAAAACCCACCTGGCTCTCCCCGCACACATCGGCCAGCGGCTGGCTGAGGTTAAACGGCTTCTGGAACCCGCCGCCGGCCTTGCGCTTCGGTTTCCCGCTGGCGTCCGAGTCGTCGGCGTTGCTATCGTCGTCGTCGGAACGCACCCGCTTGGCGCTCTTCTTCTTGGCCGGCTTGGCCTTGGGTTTGGCCTTGGGCTTGCCGGATTTGGCTGTGCCGGCACCGCGCGTCACCCGGCCACGGGAGAGCCGGTTCTCCTGCGCCTGTAGCTCGGCAGCTAGGCGGGCGTCGGCTTCCTCGCTCGAACTCTCCCGCTTCTGCTTCTTGGTCGCTGGTGGCAGCGAGACTTCGATCACGGCGCCGCGCACCTCGTCCTCGGAGGGCGCGTGGCCATTGGTGTCGTTGGTGTCGTTGGTGTCGTTGGTGCCAGATGTCGGAGTGGGCACTTGGGCGACGACGCCCGAGATGGCGTCGAAGCGGGCCTCGATTAGGTTCTTGATGGCATCCTGTTGATTGGTGTTAGTATGTTAGTGGCTGATTGGAGAGCCATGGTGCGGGGAGGGGGGGGATGGCACGAACCTTTTGGCTGCTGAGGTCTTTATCGACGGCTTCCTCTAGACGCTGGCGGATCTTCTTGCGGGTCACCGTCTCGAGATCCACCAAGGCAAGGACGCCGTCGATGACGCGGGTGTAGGTTGCGCGCTCCTCGTCTGTCACTGCGGGGGTTAGCGGAAGGCTCGAGAGATTCCGAGCCCATCGGACCACCCCAGGCCAGACATACATGGTGCGGACATGTTTCCGGGGCGATGGGGCGCACCAATTGCCGCCGGACGGGTCACGGGTGCGTTTGTCGGAGCGCGACGATGTGGTCGAGCGCGTTATGGGAACGCTAGTTGGTTCGGTCGGATTCACTGCAAGGGCAATTGAAACAAGTGATTGAAGGTTGGGGCCGATGTAGCGGTTGATGCGAAGACCGGAGGGGGTGGTGTGCGAACGGAGCGGGCAGATGCGGGACAGAAGCGATTGACTGCCGCGAGCGTGTTGCCCAGTTCTGTCGAGAGTACAAAGTGGAGCGATTGGGGTCAAGTTGCCAACTCGCCCGAACCTATCAAATTGGGAGGGAGAAAAGACAGCCGTGGGATAGAATACGGTACAGGAAATCTCGGGCGAGATGCGATTACAAAGGTTACGGTTTGTTTTAGGTTTCGGTGCTGGGATGGAAAGTTGAGAGAGCGGCGTTTGGGCTGGTGACCTTGCCGTAGTGTAGTCAGGTTGTGCAGGTTGGCGGCAGGCGGCTGCGGCTGCGGCTGCACACGAAGAGGATGAGGTGAGGCGCGTGGCGGGAGGTGGGGAGTTGATGGGCGATCCAGATCCAATCAATTTTCCGAATCGACCGGCACTCCAAGCGTGCGTCAATGCACGTGATTTCCATTTTCGGTCGAATGCAACGCGGTCTCCAGCGCAGAGCTCCGCTCCAATGCGCAGAACATCCTCAGCATGATCCACAGCATGATCCACGAGTACAGGCCGAAAAACACGTCTTTAGCGTACGAGCCAAAGCAAAGGGAGTTTCGGGACTTCTGCTATCGGAAGCAGTATTACGATGGCGATACTGTAACGGAGGATAAGCTCCTCCTTTTTCTGGTAGAAGATGTTGCAAACCGGCCGCTCAAGACGAAGAGCACGAAGGCCGACAGCGACATACCACTGGAGAACACCCGGCTCGCCTGGCGCTCTGTTCGCAGCTACGCTACCGCAATCACAGACCTCTACCGCACGCAAAAAGCACGCGGTATGAACGTACACCCATCGCCACGGGAGGATAACGTCCGGGAGTACCTAAAGACCCTGCAGCAGCGCGATGCCCAGCAGGATAAGGATAACTATGCCGACAAAGGTCGCGATGCTCTCTTGGATGGTTATACCGAGGAGGAATTTGAACGTGTCTGCTACGAACTCTGGGCACGCGGCAGCGCTTCGCCAGAATATCACCTCCGGACCCTCGTGGACCTGCTTCTCGGCCATTACATGCTTGCACGTGGTGGCGACCGGCGCGCTGCTGAGCTTTCAGACCTGCTTACCTTCGAATTCACCGGCGAGGGTCCGACCCGTTGTATGCCGCTGATCCTCACCACCCGTGCAGGAAAGCAGAACCAGCACGGCCAGCTCGAGACCGCTGGCGCCTTGCGGAATAGGAGGCCGCTCATCTGCATGCTAGGCGGCCTTGCATTCTATCTTCTGTACCGGTGGGATTTGACCGACGAGCTGCTCCCAGATTTCAGCCGGCGTGCTGCCTGGTATGATATCCGGCTGCTGAAGAGCTATGGCTCTGATCGGACAGCGGCTCTTTCTTACAATTCGCAACGAGACTGGGTCGTCAAAGCCTTTGGCTATGCCGGTGTTACCTCGCAAAAGAAGACGCATGTTGGCCGCAGCTTAGGGGCGAAGACAGCCGAGCTGAAAGGCGTTAGCGAGGACCAGATCCGCCGTGCCGGCCGTTGGAACCAGGAGCAGATGGTTGGCTGTTACCTCAACGCATTGCCCCGTAAGTTTATGCGTACGATGGCCGGCCATCCTTCGCAGATGGGGTGTTTCGAGATTCGCCGCGCTGGGATTGCACCACCAGAGGCCCTGCTTTCGATGATCTGGCCTGGGTTGGATAGCTGGAAGGACCGGTTCGGCCCTAGGTCCGACCAGGTGAACGACCTTGCAGCGATGGGCCTTACGAACCTGCTCTTCTACTTACGCGAGGTGGCCCTACAGGACTCGGTCCTCCTAATGCAACAGTTCCCCAACAGCCCAGTATGGAACCACCCGGTCTTTCAGCACGAGGCCTACCAGCCATTCGCGCAGCAGGTCTTGGCCTTTGTGCAGGAGGAGGAGCAGCCAAGCCAGCTAGCTGTCCTTGTCCAGGCGATGCCAGTCTTGGCCGACTACCTAAAGTCTATCGACTCGCGCAATGAGGCCAGAGCGGCCAAGCTTCAAGCCGCGTTCAAAACCGAGGTCCGAGCAGCTGAAACGCGGCTCAGAGAGGCCCAATCTACACAACTTCAGACCTTAGTTTCGGGGCTTCAGGCGGCCGCTACAGCGGTCCTGCCACCAGCAGAAGGAGGGGGCAAGAGCCAATGCACGTCTGCCCAGTCGAGCATCAACAATAGCCGCCTGGCAAGCCCCGACCCGGCCAGGACATACAACACGCTAGAGCCAGAGCTGCAGCCGCCCCAATACCGCATGTGCCGGGCAGTCAGAACGGTAGAGGGCCTATGGCGCGAGTGGACAGTCGGCCTTCGGGGCCAACCGGCCATCGCCGCGCTCGACAGCAGATGGGGCAGCCGATGGCGCGCAGGGCGGCAGAGCGAGCTGCAGTGGTATTCCCTGCGGCTCGAGGTCATCAAAGAGATCCGGCGTGTTGCCCAGGCAAAGCGGATCAGCGAGCAGGCGGCGATGGGCATTGTCAGCATGCAACAGCAGCGCATTGGCTGCTCCCTCGACCAGTTTTGCAAGCAGCTGCGGGCGAATAGGAAGGCGTGCACGCCTGGCCGCCTAGCTGTATAATATTAACTCGGGTTTTCAGTTGTTTTCTCCCTGACCTGGTGTCAGGGACCATTGCATGTGTATTTATAGTAAAGCTTCCACCCACCATTCAGGGGTAAGGAGGCAAGCAACGAGGCTTCGTTCTCTTCTTTCCCACGGTTTCTGCTGAGCTCCTAGGGCTTCGGCTCTGTCTGACCAGACGGGAACCATTGTTTATTCGTGCATATAGACTTGTTGAAGTACTATGAGAGTATTTGTCCAAACGGATAGTTCACTCCTCCTGTACATTACGTTCGCCATCTTGTTGAGGGTGGTTTAGTGTATTGAGTGTTCGACCACCAGTTCAATAACCATAGTCAAATACAGTGTAACTAGTATAATATCAATGGCGTCATATAACTACATTCTCCTGGTCGTCTGCTATTTACAGCCTTCTGAATTGCTTTTTTAAATGCGTTCAATTCCATTGTAAATGCCAGGGGCAGATATGGGTGAATAACGAGACCTCGAAGCACCCCCACCAATACTTCATCCTTTCCATATTCCCTGGCATCACCACCGCCCCAAAGTCTGCATTGGTTTCCTGTGGCTCTCCCAGACAATTATGGAGGCAAAGGTTCGCTCGTTCAACAACCTGCCCAGGCCAGGGAACTTGGAAGGCATCAAATCGTTGGGTTTTTGGTGTCTGCCATATCGACCTTCATCCACCCGGCGATCTTGTACTGGCTGTCAACCCATAGAGTCGGGTGGATATCGCAATCAGGCCGCGCCGGCTCAGATCCTTTCATTGTCAACGACACGGCAGCAACCCGAGGCTACCATCCCCTTCCTTCTAGATGCCTTCGTCAACCCTAAGCCCATGGACAGTATGGACTCCAGTTCCAACTTTTGCACCTTGGGCCTGGTCCACCCTAGATCCCGACATGGCTCAAGCAATCAAATCCGGCCTCAAAAAGCACGGCGTGAGCCCCGCGCTTTGCAAAGTTGGCGTCTGCACCGCTGAAGAGCGGGACATCTTGGAGGCAGCCGGCGCGAAGCTCAGCAAGTTGACAGAGTCTTTGTTGGATATCGAGCGAGACGCAGTTGCTCCGGGCAATTCGACTAAGTGACTGCTGTATGAACCGCCAGTGCTTCTTTCAGCCCCTCAAGAAGTGTGCGTGATGCAGTGAGGCCTTTTATCACTCAAGGGAGTGCCAGAAGAAGCGCTTGAAGGACCACAAGGCTTTGTGCTGCGCACCTGGTGCCGCCCCTAGCGTCGATGCTCATGACTACTACAACAAGACGGCGCCTACCGACCCGGAGGCCCGGGATTTGATGAGCTTGCTTCGCCTTGGGGGCATCCAAACCGTAGCGGGATAGCGTGCGCTTCACCTCCCGAGGCTCATGTTCGCTGACACAGATTCTACCTGCCTTTACACCGCTTGATTATCACTGGCCAAGACACGCCCGAGAAGTTGCGGTTAGTATTTGGCCCATAATATGAAAGCACCCTCAAGGCGACTCATGACGAAGCCCGCATCGAATGTCTGCTCGACCCGCCCCCTGACTCTCCGTGGCACGCCCTGAACGCCTATATGGTTGATCCTTCCCTTGTTACATCTCTGTGGCCAGAAACCGAGGCTGAGAAACGGAAAGTCGAGGAAGTGAAAGAGATGCAAACTTTGATTCGGCGGAAAGTCGGCGCTGGGAAAATCCCGTTTCCGAGGCGGATATGCAGGCCATCCTACAGACCTATGAGCCGAACTGGGTGATAAAACTGGCCACCTACACGCTGGAGGCGAATACTATGGACCAAGGCGTTCGGGCTACTGGAAACCCTGGTTTCTAGGATTTCCAGGGAGACGTGGGATTGGTGCCTCTCTTGTTCGTCTCCCAGGCTACGCTGACTTCAAATCGATGTCAGGGGTTCGGGTAGGTACCTACCTAGGTACTTTTATTTCCCATTGTGTCCGCTCCCAGGTTGGCAAGCCGAGGTGGTCATGCTTCCTTTGGCCAAAAACGCCGACCTCGAAAATGGAGCAAGAAAGGAAGAAAAGAGAAAGAAAGAAGTAAAATAAAAACTAAGAAAAGAAGAGATAAAGAAAACTGAGAAAAATAAATTAACTAAAGAAAAGAAACCGAGTCAAATAAAAAATCGACTTTGGGCTTTCGGTTATCTTTCTTTTGGTCCTCCTCGTCCAAGGTTCGGCGGCACCTCAACCTGGAGTTCGGCTGTTTTTGGCCAGAGACTGTCATAGCAACCTAGGTAGCGAGGCAGCTCGATAGGTAGTCTGCCCATTCAAGCTCCGAGGTTCTTTCAGCCGGATCTAACTAACGGATGCCAGTGACATCCCCGTTCCTGACGCGCAGGTGCCGGGCCCCGAGTGGTACGCCAGAAAATCCTCATGCGGGGTTCACACCGGCAGGAAGTTCCCCGCCCAATAATGCAGCTAGGATCCCCAAGTCATGGTAGTCTTCTCCCGGGGGCATGGATAGAACCGGCAGGGGTTCGTGAGAAATGTATATATTTCCGAGGCAGCCCGGATCCGGGACTGCCAATCACTTCCCGAAGAGTCCGGTCTGTTTTCTACCCCCGTCCTGTCCATCCCCGTGGGCGCTTTCAAAACCTAAGGTAGCCGAGCATCCCGCTAGCACTAACACACCACCAACCACCACCACCACCAACACCACCAACACCACCACAAACAACACCAACACCTCGAAGACCAACACCTTTACCACCACCACCTCTACCCTCCCCACCACCCACCATGACAACCCCAACCTCACCCTCCACAACCACGCCCCCAACCGCAACCCCCGCCACCTTCCCGCGCCTCTCCCCCTCCAACATCCACGTCCTGATCGTTGGCGCCGGTTTCGCCGGCCTCACCGCCGCCATCGAATGCGACCGCAAAGGGCACCGGGTCACCGTGCTCGAAAAATCCCCGCACCTCCTCCCCCTCGGCGACATCATCAGCTTCGGGCAGAACTCGTCGCGCTTCTTTGCCAAGTGGCTCCGGCGTGTCTCGAGGCGCTGGACCCGCTGGTGCACAAGCACGACCAGTTCCGGTTTCATTCGTGGAAGGGCGAGTATGTCACGACGCAGTCGTTTGCCGAGGAGCATGCGCGGTCGGGGTATGCGGGTGAATGGGCATCGGGGGGAGATTTCATTGGTCGTGGTGTTGGGGCATGCGTTGGGCGAGGGGGGTGGAGGTCAGGTTGGGGGTGAATGTGGTGAGGTATTTTGAGGATGGGGAGGGGGGTTACGCGGGGGTGGAGACGGAGGGGGGGGAGAGGCTGACGGCGGATGTGGTGCTTGCTGCGGAGGGGGTGCGGTCGAGGGGGCGGAGGTTGGTGCTGGGGTTTGAGGACCGGCCGCAGCCGAGTGGGTATGCGGTGTTTAGGACGTGGTTTGGGGCGGAGGAGTTGCTGAGAAATGAGAAAACGCGGCATTTGGTGGAGAAGGGGGATTCGCATACGGGGTGGATTGGGGAGGATGTGCATTTCCTGGCGGCGGCCATCAAGGGGGGGAAGGAGATGAGCTGGGTGTGCACGCACAAGGATGAAGGGAGTATCGAAGAGAGCTGGCAGTTCCCGGGGAAGATTGAGGATGTGCTACGCGTGGTGGAGGGGTGGGACCCCTTGGTGGTGGAGCTGGTGAAGCTGACGCCGCCTGAGCGGCTTTTTTACTACAAGCTGGTGTTCCGTGATCCGCTGCCCACCTTCATCTCGCCCCAGGCAAGGACGGCGCTAATCGGGGACGCCGCGCACCCCTTCCTGCCGACGTCGATCCAGGGGGCGAGCCAGGCGATGGAGGACGGCGTGGTGCTGGCTGCGTGTCTGGACAAGGCGGGCAAGGGCAAGGTGCAGGAGGCGGTGCGGGTGTGGGAGCGCATCCGCTACGAGCGCGTGCACAAGATTCAGCAGACCGGCGTGGCGACGCGTGAGCAGTGGCACAAGGCCGATTGGGACGCCATCTGGAAGGACCCGGAGTCAATGCACCTGAAGAGGGAGGCGTGGATTTTGGATTTCGACGCCGAAGCAGACGCGTATGCTAGGTATGATGCTGTGAGGGAGGAGCTAGAGAGCGAGAACGGAGTAAGAAGTTAAGAACCAAAGTACAGGTGTTACATTCTGGACTCCTGCTTGTAGTGGGATTGCTTCGAGAAAAGAAGCAGGGAAGCCTTGGGAGAAGTACCGTCTATATTTATAGTTCATAAATTTGATACAGACCGCTCCAAGCTGGGTATGTAATCTCTTTTACCCCGGCTTGTACCTTTTCTGATTTAAAGCTCTTTGCCTCTCTACTTCCTGTATAAACCGGGTCACATCTAGTTCAAGTTCCATGTCTGTTCAAAGTTGCCCTGGTTCGTGCGTTGGTTCTAATGTTTCTTTTGGCACTTCTTGCTCAGCTACCTACCTTACCTACCTAGGTACACATATGTAATCCGCTTCAGAACGCGTTTCTAAGCGGCCATTCCTCAAGCTTTGCGAGAGAGGTTTCGTCCGTCTCTCTTTCTCTTCACAGAGTGAGAACCTTACGATGATGGTGGGTTGCATATGTTGTGCCATCCTGGCGTTTTAAGCGCTGGGAGTCCTGGGACGATCGATATGTCTATAGGCCTCTTCAGCCGTCAAGTCCAATCACAATACGGGCGTGTCCGCTGCCGAGGGGTTGATCCTTTGCTTATAGGTATTGTAGTGATTGCGTCACGGCGGCCGGACAACACCATCCTCGCTGTTTTCGGCATCCTTGGGAGCTTTCGCCATACAGGCAAGTGACGAGTCTGCGGCTCAGACGCTGTTGCGCGGGTACGTAATCTTTCATTTTATAAGAGAATAACCAGCACAGTCGTATCATCCCTGGCCTCTTTCGAGTCTGGTGCTGTGGTGCTCAGGACGCTGCAGAACAGATCCTTCTGGTTCCCCCAAATGCGTTATTTACCAAGTGCGTGGCGATGTTGTCCTCCTCGACCACAAAATGGTCGCGTTGTACGGTCCAGTTATAGAGAAACCCAGCAGGCGAGTGCGCACCATCTCGGTTTCCGGTGTCGACGGGTTTCTCTTTCTGATGCTCGCCAACCAAAGACGGCGGTGCTGCTGGTGGTTGCGGTTTGCTGGGTTGACTGGTGACCGCGTCCTCGCCCTCCCCTCCCCCTTGGCCGGATTGTGCGTCGATCCACATAGCAGCGCAGTGAACTGCATCTTCGCTCGAGGCCATGTGATTTCGGAAACCGTCACTGGCCAGAATGACAAAGTCGCCGAGTCTCGTCTCCGTGCTCGTGACGACCGGCCGAGCCGTGATGTACGGCGGCGAGTGGTAGTCCGACACGCAGTTGCGCCCAAAGTAGGCGCTTTGCCATCTGTTCAGTGCCTCGAGTGACCACTTCCACCTGTTGTCGCCAAAGCTGCGTGTCATGGCGCAGTTCAGCAGGCGGCCGGACTCGACATCGACGGGGGTCTCCCACGCAAGCGACGTATGCGACCGAGGTTGTAGCGTCGAGGAGGATGAGCGTGGCACAGGAGCCCGAGCTGGCCGGCGCGATGCGGGACATGATTTCGGCATGAGGAATGTCTTGATAGAGCGCCGAGAGCGCGTCCGAGATTATCTCGTCATCCAATTGGAGAAAGGCCGCTTCAACGGCGGCCCGACGCGTTTGGGGTCGCGTAAATCGGAGCGGTCAAGCTTCTGTAAATGACATCCGACGTATTCGGCGAGCGAGTTACGAAGAACAGTCGACGTTGACCAACCACTAAGGGACATGGACTTAGCGACGGTGGCGAAACCCGGGGGGTATATACTCACGAGTGCCCGTCAAAGATGCCCCAGTACATCCATGACTCTCCCCCGCCGACGTCGATGTCTCCATAGGCGAGGCTGTCTTCGACGGGAGACAGGCTGGGCACCCTGACGGTATCAATTCTGATGCTGGGCCTGTCGCTCAAGGATATGAGGTCAGGGACCCTAGGTAAGATTACAGTCCGGGATGAGAGGGCATTGCTTGGGGGTCTGGGACGGGGCAGAAAGCCCAGCGGCGGGGAAGGCAGCTGGCTGCCTTGTGGGTTGTCATTGTGTAACCGCTTGACCGGTCATGCGGTGTCGTGGGTGGCTGGCGAGGCTGGGAATTGAGATGGATTAATCTACGGTGGGCGTAGGGGTAGCTGCGGCTGGAATGAATTGATGTCAAGTTGCACCACAGTACTGTGCTGCCAGCAGTCTGGTGACAGCACCAAGACCAAATGCGTACAGGCAACTAGTGCGGTGAGCACAGCATACAGGTACAACGCACCACCACACACCAGTCCCTCCTTGCCGCCCCTGGCAATTTCCCTGCTTCCGTCCGGAGGACAATTTGGCGGGTGGGTGTGGGGTCCAATATTAGCGACTTGGGGTTGAATCAAAATACAGGAGAGACTAAGGATCAATGTCTGTCCGGAATGGTTGCACCAAGCTGGGAGGACTATGTATGTAACTGCTGTTATACCGTAGCAGCAACGAAAGGATTGTATTACAAAGAGGAAGAACGACGAGAAAGTAAAGAGGAATGGCATTTGGGAGGCCCCTTACCCTTACCCCTGAACTACACCACCGCGTTCAAGGGCAGCGAATCTCCCCCCTCTCCTTTTTCCTCTCCTCTTCTTCTCCCCGACATTAGCCGTACTCGCCAGATCATCGAGAACAACCCCGCCGTCCTCCCCCACCACATAGTGACTATGATTGCTAGGGGGATACTCTGACGGCGTGGCTGCTACTCGGAAGCTCCCACAACACGACCGGCACGAAGCAGGGTCAAACGGGGACCCGCACGCATTGCAGTTGAAATCGGCACAAGGATCGGTCCCTTCATCGCCTCGCCCACCCTCAAAGGTGTACAACAAACAGCCAGCCTGGCACGAGCCACCAACACCGCCGTTATTGCCTACGGATAAGGAGCGTTAGTGCCTTGTCATTCACGATTCACGAAGCATGTATCGAATCATGGGATGATAATCCGAGAGAGGCAACTCACACTTGGTATAATCCTCCCTCACCAACAAGTACGCCGTGATATGGCTCTGGTTCATGCCCAGCGGAAAGCGGAAGCTCTGCCTCTCGACGGTCGTCACGCATCCGGCCACCCACTCGGCGCGGAAGTCGTAGTTGACGCCGTGGCGATCCGTGCGGCGGAGCCGAACCGGCGCGTCGCCCGCCCCGATGGTGATGTCGCCGAGGCTGCTGAAGTCGACCGAGAATGTGTTTTGGTCGCCGGACTGGATGTCGGCGTGGCCTGGGAAGTCGGCCTCGTTGAAGCAGTTGACGCCGCCCCGCGTCAGCGGCGTCGGCGGGGGGCCTGTCGGTGTGGCCTTGGTGGTGGTGGCTTTGGTTGTGGGGGAGGTGGTCCTGGTGGTGATGGCGTTGACGGGGTCGGAGAAGTCGGGCGGGCTGCCGGTGGGTTGAGGCACGCAGTAGTAGCCGGTGCAGAGCTTGCCGCAGTTGGCTGTGCAGGTTGGTGAGACCGAGCCCGAGTGCCTGTTGTAATCGTCAGCAAGAGATATAGTGGTAAGCGGGCATAGGCGGTGGGGTGATGTTCAATACTGACCAAGTTATCGCGCCGCGGTTGCTGGAGGCCCCATTCCAGAGGTCTTCGGTCACCTCGCCATCAGGGACCCAGTTCTCCGTGTCGCCTGGCTGGGGAAGGCCTTTGTTCACCTCCCCACAAACGGACTTGGCCTCGGGAGACCTAAACTCTCCGCCGTAGCCGACGAGGCAGTTCTCGCTCTCGACGTTTCCATTCCAGATGATCCTGGCATGGAACCCCTCTTGCTCTTCATCCGAGTCGATAGTCCCGGTATCATCAATCACGCGAACCTTGCGAGCCAAGTATTCTACCATCTTGACTGCGAATACCGGGTTTCTCAGATCGTTGGCGAAAGGCGAGTCAAGAGCGCGGAGATACGCGACCACACTTGATATCATAGGAGCGGCTGGAATACCGGATAATGGTTAGTCTAGGAGTCTCTGCGTAAAAGACGAGGCGTGAAGGGGCTGGGGACTAACCCAGGGAGGTCCCGTGCAGGAGCTCGCCACCGTTCTGGTAGAGGTTCAGACCAGGGCCGTAGACCATGCCGGTGTCAGTGTGGTCGCTCCATGGGACGCTATGCATGGCACGGAGGCCATGCTTGGAGGCGGACGCGGCCACCACCAAGTCGGGGAGCTGGCCGTCGAGAAACCACGATGCCGGGACTGCATCGACTGCGTATTTCACGTCTACCTATGATCCCGGCAGCCACGACCACAACGCACTGGAGCTCGTCGTGGAGATGACGGAGCATCCGCACTGCACGACCGCGTCAGCGTAAACCCTTAACGGTAGAGTGGATACCTGTAGAGAGAGAAAGAGGAGAAACTTACCGAATTGAGTTTTCCACTCGTCCTTCGGCCACGTCGGGTCCATTATATACACAATGGATATATTAATCACACACTGTCCTTGCCTTTGCTTAGCTTCAATGTCCTTGATCATGCCAAGTAACCGAATCAATACTATCTCGTCGCTGGCCTGGTCATCGTCCGGGTCCATGGTGCCGTCGTCTGCCATCAAAACCAAAGTTGCCCTAGGCGCGATCCCGAGCGACTGGCCGATGGCATATAGGGCGACCTGGGTGCCGTGGTCGTATGAGTTGAGCCCGATGCCGTTGTTGATGCTGTACTCGGGGTCGAAATAGGCAATGTTTGCGCCGGAAAACTCGCTGTTCTAGCGGGTGAAAGTCAATGTCAGCCAATAATCTTCCATGGAGATGATAATAGCCAGGCCCTTACACCGTTGATCCCCGCGTCCATGTTGTAAATGTACTGGCCTTCGCCCAGTTTGCCATCATGGTAGTACAGGTGCCGGGAGCCGTCACCTTCGACGTTCCATTCCTGACCCGGGTAGCTCGAGACCAGGGAACGGTGCCAGCTGTCTTTATTGTCTACGCTCGGGTTGGTGACCGCTCTCTTGTCGAAAATGGTCCTGTTGTAGGCCTGCCCCCGTCCAGCTCCGGCGCTTCTAGCGTTCAGACCTCCCCATGTGGTCCAGGTTGGCATATAGGTAGCTACCTGAAGGCGAACAAGGCCGCAAATGTTAGCCATCCGCCAAGGGAAAGACGGAGGACGTAAAGAAGAACTCACCCCGTCCATAATCATAATATTGGGCTAAGAAGCTTAGCGGGCTATTTTCGACGTAGATGAAGACGGTCCCAAGAGATTTGTGCTCAAACTGATGGTATGTCAAGCCGCTCAGCCCGAGTTCGAGCAGAACGTCCAAGATATTGCCGTACTCGGCTCCGTCGGTGAAGTAAATCGCCGCGTTGGCCGTATCCTCGCAACCGTCATCACTATCACCATCGGCACGGGCGGCGAGGGGGGGAGCATGAACGGCAGTGGCGGCCGGGGTTGCGGTCGCGACCGGGGAGGAGGCGCCGAGAGAGGGCGGTCTGTCGCTTGGAGTTGCGGCTCCCGAGTGTGCAGGCGGCGGTGGTGGTGTATTCTGGGACGGGGCAGCCGGTCTCGTAGGCCGTTTCGGTGATGGTGCGCGTTGTGGTTGTTACCGTGACGCCGTTGGACACGGATAGGCCGTACGATCTCGTGTATATCTCGACGGGGACCTCGAGTTTGTTGTCGTCGCAGTTGGTGGGCTTGTCTGGATACCTGAGACCTGGGCCGATGCTGAAACGAGGGGGCTGCAGTCAGTAACGATGGGCCTGGTTAGAATATCTGGGCGGTACTTGGAGGCAATACTAACGTGATCTTGGGCCAGGGAGGGGGGTTGGGGGGTTTAATGAATCCCCATCCCTCGGGGAGAAGTTTGAGCGCCGGGGGAGGACCGCTGTGAGTTACATTTTGTGGTTAGAATAGAGAGGGCTGAAGACAAAAAGGGGTTGGAAATAGTATCGTACGGTCCAAGAACGGATTTGGGAAACGTAAACTTCCAGCCATAGATCTTGATATCCTTGGTGTCGATGCAGAAGATGAAGAACCACAGTTCATCACACCTAACCTTGACGACGACGTAGTCGCCGTCGTCATCGTCGTCGTCGTTTTCTGGCGGACATTCGTTGTTGCGGCATTGGCTGTCCATGGGCTCAACGATGGGCTCGACGCGGGAAGGCGGAAATATGCCATTGGTGTAGGTCGGAATGGGGGTCGACGTGGTGCTAGTGCGTTCCGGAATGTACACGATCACATCGTCGCTGTTTGTAATGGTGCCCGTCACCCACCCCCCACACGTCGATGTCCACTTGTCCGGCGGGCCTTGGGTGATCTGGGGCCAGGGCGGCAGCTCGACCTGGCGGATGGTGATGGTGGTCTTGGAGTTGGACACGTAGCTGAGCGTGATGGGGACGGCGTCGGGCTTCATGCTCGTGCATCTAGGGAAAACGACCCCGTCCGTTACGGAGCCGGTGATGTTGATGTTGGAGAAGGAGATGCGGTCGGTCACGATGTCGGAGGGGGGGAGCGTAAGGGTTGTAGTGGTCGAACCCACCTCAAACGAGGTCACATACGGAGGGAGGTGGATAGTAGTAGTGGATGGGAGCTTGCTCGGGGGCAGAACGAGCACGCAGGGGCTCTCGCAAGCTGCCGTTGGGGATTCGTAGACGCGGGTGCCAATGTAGGCCGGGTTGACGCTCTTGTAGGGATCGTTGCCGTCGACCTCCGTCTGGACGCAGACACCCTCGGGGCAGTAACCACGGCTGCAGGCAAACTCGCAGAGAGGCCCGAAGACGCGCTGGTCGACGCTCGGGTCGGGCTCACCAGTGACGGTGTCGCTCTGGGCCGGCGGGACGTTCAGAGGCCCCGTCGATGTACAGGTGCACGAGTGGATGGGACAGAAGCCAAAGTTGCAAGAGAACCCGCAGAGGCCCCCGAGGCCGCCCTCGCCGACTCCCGATGTACACGCGTCCGGAGTGAAGGGCGAGACGTTGGGGACGACCAGGGGGTGCTCTACCGTGTCGCAGTAGGTGTTGGGACAGCCGAAGCCGTAGTTGCAGGCGAAGCTACACAGGCCCCAGTAGCTGGCCGACCTGCCTTCGGCCGGAAAGCCCACAGTGCCGAATCCGGGAGTGTCCGGGCCAGGGAGTCTGTTACCGGGCCCCATCTTGGTGCAGAGGCACGCACCGACGGGGCAGTAGCCGTACTTACAAGTGAAGGCGCAGAGCTCATCGAAGCCAGCGGCGGCAGTACCCTCGATACACACCCACTGCGTTGAGTTGACCGTCGTGCTGACGGCCTCTCCCGTGGTGCTGGCCACAAAGGCATTCCAGTTGGTGTATCCGCTCGTGTCGTCGCAGCTCGCCTTGATAGGCCGCTTGTCGACCGTCATCGACCCGACCGTGACCACGACGGCGCCCGTGTGGGTTCCGAAGTCGACGCTGCCGTGATAGATGCCAGCACCGCCGCTGGGCTTCTTGGTCCACGTTGCGCCGAGGTCCACGCCGCCAACGGTAACGGTGACGGCCTGGCTACTAGCGAGCAGAGCTGAGTAGAAGATCTTGTCCTGTACCACGTCCTGGGGTGTGAACTCGAACTGTAGCTGGCTCGCCGTGTTGCCCGTCGTCCAGCCGTCGTCGCAGGGTGCGTTCTTGGGCGTGACCCGGTACCACGCCACGAGCTTCTCCTGACTGATGGTGGCCACCCCCGTCTTGTAGAGGTCGATGGTGAAGGGCAGCAGCTCGCGCCAGCCGTCGTGGGGCATGTCCAAAGCGTAGTTGAAAGGCGCCTTACCGACCGTAAAGGCCTCGTAGCTGTCCCCCTCAACGTACAGGGGACCGATGTGGTGGGACTCGCCAAAGTCATTCCACGAGACTATTTCGACGTAGTCGGGGTTGATGAACCGAATCTGCTCCCAGCGGTCAAACCACAGGTCGTCACCCCTCCACAGCCAATTCTTGTCGTAGCCCGGGAGGTTTGTGTAGAACCACGGACTCGCCGGCATCACTTTGCCGCGGCAACACGATTAGCAACGAGGTTTGAGGCGTGGCATGTGAGGTGAGCGAGGGAGCCCTTACTGTATTGCATATCGGTGCCGCAGTTCTTCTCGGCCGCCTCTATAAACTCAATGTACGACGCATCCACGTACGTGTTGCCGTCGGTGTTGCCCCAAGGCCAGGGCGCCCAGCTGAAAAGGCCGTGCGGCACGCAAGGGGCAGCGTCAAGTGCCGCCTTGGCCCCGAGGGACGACCAGTCGGGGATGAAAGCGGCGTTGGTCTTTTTGATGATATACTCCCAGTCTCCGGCCTGCGGTGCTCCTTCAAATGTAGATACGACAGGCCGCCCCTTGTCGTCGATGTAGTACGAGCTATAACCGGAATAGAGCAGCGTCATAGAGACGACGAGGTTAGCGCTCCAGGGCCCTCCGCCGGCGTAGTCATACGAGAAGATCATCTTAAACCCCAAGTCGTCGGCCGCCTGGAAGGCCTGACTCAGGGACATGCCCAGAGTCGTGTCATCTGCTCGAATGTTGAGAGCGAAACCGTCGATGTGGGCAGCCTGAGCCAGCTTGATGTCGACCTTCCACTGGTCTACGCTCCATAGTTTAGCATTTTCGACCTAGCTTCAAGTTAGTCTTCTCTAGGCATTGTGAGGGTAGCTACGGACAAGCTCACCATAAAATGGGCAAAGACTGCCTTAGCCTGGACCTGGACGCATCCCAACAGGACGGCCAGGAGGGCAGGGAGCCACATGTTGGGGTGGGTGTGGCCAGCGGCAGGCTTTGCTGGCGGAAAACGGAGAATGAAGCAGAAGAGTTCTACGGATAAGAAGGATGGGGGGGAGGAAAGAGAAAATAGCGGCTACACGGTGACCCCTGGCCCTATTTATAACTTAGGTACCTATCTAAATCCCTCGCGTCGACATGACCGCTCATGGTGCCTGCTTGCTATCCGCTTCGTCGCCCGGCGTCGGAAATAATAAACCCCCACTCCCTCAGTCCTGACGACTCTCTGCTCGGCCCGTTTCGAGGACAGCGAACTTTCAGTCTCCGCCATCCGCCGTCCCCCGCGCGCTGTTGGTCCAGGGGCTAGGGCGCGGTCCATTGCAGGCCACCAACATGTCCGAGGCCAAAATGCCTACGGGGGCCCGGGAAAAATCTCTCGTGCGGGCGAGCTTTTGTCACGGGGCGAGGTCAGGGGAGTCGCGGGACAGGGTCAGGTTCTGGCTAATGACTGAGTTGTGCGATGAGGAGAGAGGAAGCTCTCGCAAGGGGACGCTAACGGAGAGGAGATCCTGCTGCTAGTGTGGGTCCAGGTCGCGTGGGCACGTGCTGCCCACGTGACCCAAGCAGGTCAGGCTTGGTGCCGTGACAGCTTTTGTCGCCATTTCTGTACTAAACTAATTTCTGTGGTAGCATCGGTCCGCTGTGTTAGTCGATAGTAACCGTCAGGACTCAGTTGAACCCCGGTTTTTGGCCCCCAAGTATACGATGCCCTGCAGGCGCCCGCAAGCGGTTAGCGTACAGAAAGTTTATCCACCTTGCTCGCACTCGTCCGCGTCCACATCCCCCGGGAAATTACGGGTCGTGTCTGTTCTGGACTTCTGGTCAAGTGTCTTCAATGTTTGGAACTGTGGCCAAGATGTCAACGTTCAAGACATGAATGTGCTGGAAGGCCAGCAGCCCCAACTGCTAATCACGTTAATTAAGCCCTGGAACACTTGGAAGATACTGTTAGACGGGGGCTGTTGCCTGTTCCGCGGCCCCACGACCCGGGGATCCGGGTCGTGGATACCTGTAACCGGGCGGGTGGCACTCGACGGGCACATGTCAGGCCCCGCTCACGAATCACCAGCTGCAGCTGTGGGTGGGTTCTGAGAGAGGGCCCGGGATAAAAGGGAGAGAGAGAGAGAAAAAACCAATACGTAGTAAAAGGCACAGTAATGGGTCGTCCCCCTTGCTCGTACCAGACTACCAGCTTGGCCCCCAAACCACGTGCACCAAACTCGAGACCCCGCCATGCCCGTCATCATCAAACCAGACCCGGACTCCCCGAGCGGTACGAACCGCGACCCGGTTACTTCCTCGCCCTTCTCCCTGCTCTCCAAAGCGTCGCCAACCCACAAGCTCTACCCTATTCTACGCTCATCGTTTCGTGATCGCCACTCTACGCGCCCCCCCTCCTCCATTGCACCCGACAAGAATGGCTTTGCCCATACCGTCATCCGCGCCTGGCAGCAAGACTTGCATCTCAAGCTCCGGCCCGACGATGTATGGCTCGCCATCCTGACCCAGTTCAGTTTCTTCGTCAACGGGAACGCCGAGGCGCTCCGTCCCATCTTCGTTACTCACGAAGGCCAAGAGGAGCTCCTCGTCCATGTGGAGGGTACCATCGGGTCTGTCGACTATGGTGTTATCGCACAGAAGCTGGCTGCCATGGCGAAGGAACGCCTCGTTGATCCCAATATCGCCACCACCCTGTTGCCCAACTTCACTACTACGACACCGGACGACCGAGCCGTCGCTTCTATGGTGTTTATGGGTGTTGTTAACGAGTACTTTGCCTATCGCGTGAGATTCGGCTGCGGGTTCCCGTCAGTGACCTTGTTGGGCGAGCCAGGCGATTGGGCCGATATGCTTGAACGCGTAGCTTGGTTCGGTACCCTCGGTCACGAGGAGACCAACGCGTGGACTATACGGCTGACCAAAGTCCTCGAGTACATGGTGGCCAGCTTCGACTCCCCAGACGACGCCAATATCAAGGACTTTTGGGCATGTGCCGTCCATGAGGCAAAATCAGGCATGTCTGGCGGTATCGTGACTCTGTCGGGATGGCTGTCGGCGTTTTGTTGGTGGGATGGCAGTGGCGAGAGAATGAGGAGCTACACGGATGAAGAGCTGGCGAGAAAACATCTGACCGGATACCGCCGCTTGACCCTGGACGACGTCGAGTTTCCCGTCATCGAACGGAAAGAAGTCCCTCCAGGCGTTGTGGCTGTCCCCATCACGCTTTGCCAGGCGGAACCCACCAAGGCGGTCCTCGTGGCCGGGTCGATGGGGATGCAGGTGACTAAGGAGGGAGAAGGCCAAACTGTGGCTCAACCTGCTTCGGGCTGGTGGCTGTTGGCCGACCGCGGAGAAACATTTGGAAGACCACGGAGAACAAAGGAGGAAATAGAAGCTGAGAAAGAGAAAAAGCGCCGTTGGGACGACATGACGCCCATCATGGTACAGCCCCACCCGGGAGGAGTTAAAGCGTGGAGACGATCGCGGGAGTGAGGTCTAATTGTCTGTGTGGGAACCACACACATTGAGACAAATGCCAACTCTGTGCTAATTACCTGGTGGATTTGATAGCTACGGTGCCTTGAGCTTTTGACAGGAGAGAAATCCCAGGACAAGGTGGGTTCGGTGTGGGCGCTTATGGCGGGATACGCGGAGTCGTGATAGGTGTTGTTATTCCCTCAACTTTTTTCTTCTATTTTTCCTTTATTTCCCCCCCCCCCTTTTTTTCCCCGTTTTTTTTTTAGTTTCTTATTAATGCAAGGTATTTTGGAGGACAATCTCGATTTCGTTTCAGTTGCAGAGTCTCTCCCGAGGCAAAAGAAGTGCAAAAAGCATCACTTTCTTGTTTTTCTCTTTATTCTTTTTTTTTTTCGATGGGTTGTTTTTTGGAAAAGGGGGAGGGTGGTGAGCTGGAAAGGAGAAAACGAAATAGGTGGCGAATTAGTACAGTACAGCTCCACTTGACAATAAGGCTTTTGCACCACTTAAGGTGTACTTATCAGGTGCAACTTACGCGTCGCTGCTTCATCCCACCAACAATGTGGAATCGTGCCTCGGGCAACTTTCACCGTGGCATCCCCTGTAGTAGGACAGTCTACGCGTCTCCGAACAAGCCCTACGGTTTATAATATCCCTTCTCTCTCCTTCTTCTGGAGCAATTGTCGTCTCCAGTCACGTTGTTTTTCTTGCCCTCCAAGACAAGTTACATGTAGACAAACTCGAATCCCATCCGCTGTTGGCAGGAATCAATTCAGCCTTTTCAGCATGTCTTCGGCAGCAACTCCTCCTTCAACAGCGACTCCTTTAACAGCGACTACAAGTACTCCACAACCTTTCGCTGAGGGAATCCAGATCACATCCCCCTCTGGGAAATCCTACGTCATCGACGAGGTTATCTACCAGCGGCCGCGGGGAAAGCGGCTGCATTGTTTGTACCGAGCGAGGTACGTTTCGTAATAGGAGCGGCTTGTTGCCCAGTTCCTACCCCCTCTCATTGATTGTAATATGGCTGGTCCAGATTCTCGCTGTGGTGCTTCAGTTCTGAGGGCAAGCAGTACGTACTCAAGGACATCCTCTCGGGTGACTTTGACTACATCCTAGACCTACCGAGCTCGTCGAGGGCTCAGCACACGTTCGGACGCTGGTCGACAGCATCCCCGACCATCACATGTTTGTATACCCTTTGCTCGACGCGAACTTACAGTTGGTCGAGCCCACAGAAATTGCCCCCTGTGTCAGAAAGGACATCCTAAGGGATGCTCTCGCTGGCTTGGCCGACCTCCACGACAAGGGCATCTGCCACACCGGTTAGTCGCCGATATATTGCTATATCAACTTTGACCGCTAACACTCGGTAGATATCAAGCCAGCCATCATGATGGACTCGTTCCAGCAGAGCGATGGCACCATAGGGTTCAGGAACGTGCAGATCACGGACTTAGAGGATGCTGTAGTGCTGCCCCCGGGCTCCCCAGGCCTTACAAAGCGTCTCTCCGGGAACCAGTTTTGGAGGAGCCCCGAAGCGTGGGCAAGGGGAGTGCAGAATACACCGTCCGATATCTTCTCATTTGGCATTACGGTACGTTTCCGAGTCTACTTCCTTTCGTCCTTAACGTGCCTAGTATTCTTTGCTGAGACACTGCTGAGTTCCGCCTCGACGTAGGCTATTTATGTCTGGCTCAACAGGATGGCTTTCTTCTCAGATGAGGCAAATGCAGCTGATGACGCGTCGGAGATGATACTCCAGCGCCAGATTTCGCATTTCACCGACGACGTTGAAGAGTTTGGTGGGTTCATCGAGTACCACGGAGGAGAACAGGACCCATTTGTCCAGCGTTGTATCCAACTCCTCGTGGAATTCGATGGCAAGAAAAAAAAGAGAGCGCCCTTTGGTAGGTGGCATCCGGTAGATCCAGAGTTTAAGGATCTAGTTAGCCGGATGACATGCTTCAACCCCTTGCGGCGGATCACGGCCACGGAGGCACTGCAGCACCCGTGGTTCCGAACTTGACGGGTTGCGGTGATACAAGGAGTGCCACATCTGGTAGTGTATACAAGGTGCGTGGGGAGGGAACTAGAAAACACCATAACCACGAACCCAGACCAAGAATCGAAGAATTACAGACGCATGCGGATTGGCATGGCGAAATACACAGCATTGAAGCAGCCCTCGAAGCCCCCAACGTCTATTTCTCCTGTGTGCTACAGCACGAGTAAAGTAGGCCCTTTTCTCGAAACAACTCGCCCAGCAGACACCCCTCTTTGACCCCCATCTCAGTAAAGAACCGGCCAACCATTCTCATAGCGAACCAGATTAATGCCAATCTGCGCCGTCCCCGCATCATTATAGTAATGATACACCAACACATCCCCATCGGCATCCTCAAAAATCGCATTATGCCCCGGCCCATGCACCGACCCATGGCTCGACATAACCTGCGTCCCCCCGCCCTGCATCATCTGCCTGCCCTCCCGATCCACATACGGCCCCGTCACCGACGCCGACCGTCCCACCATAATCCGATACGTGCTCGCCGCCCCCTGACAACACCGATCAAACGACACCCACAAATAATACCAATCCCCCCTGCGCACAACAAACGGCGCCTCCACCGCCCCCTCCGCATCCGGCCTTGCCGCAATCCCCAACGGCTCCCCCGCATCCACCCTCTTCCCCGTACTCGGATCCAACTGCACCATCTTAATCCCCGACCAAAACGACCCCAGCGCCAACCACCACCGCCCCTCCCCATCCACCACCAAATTCGGATCGATCGCATTCCACCCACTACTCTCCGTCGACTCGATCACCAACCCCCTATCCGTCCACGACCCGGCCGCCCCCGTGGGCGAGGTCGCCAGGAAGATGGCGGAGCGGCTAGAGCCGAAGGAGGACGCCGAGTAGTACAGGTAGTACTGGTTGTTGTGGAAGGAGAGGTCGGGCGCCCACAGGTTGCGGTCGCCGTTGGTGTAGGGGGTTGTCCAGGGCGCGCCGGAGGGGAAGGCCGCGCCGGCGTCGGTCCATTGCGTGCGGTCGGTGGAGGTCTTGAGCTGGATGTTGTCGCCTGTGTAGGCGGCCAGGTAGGTGCCTGAGGGGGTTTTGAGCACGGTCGGGTCGTGGATGAAGGTGTCGCCTGTGACGCGGCCCGGGTTGATGTTTTGGCGCGGGTGGAGGAGGCTGGCGGTAGTGGTGGCGATGGCGAGGATGCCGGTGAGGGCGAGTTGTCGGAGGGTCATGTTGGGGGTTGGTTGGTGGTGGGTGTTTGGGGGTATGTCGTTGGCGGGTGATCGGGGCGCAGGGAAGGGACTCAACTGCGGTGGGTGGACACCTTGGAGTGATCAGAGCCTGAGCCGCCTGTGATGCTGATGTTGGAGTTGACTGTGGTCGTGACGTGACGTGACGTCGTCTTATGTAGATCCTGGACCATCCAATGGTCGGTCCGTATTGACCCCTTACTCAATCTTGGCCGGCGTGGTCTCCCTCCGCCGAAGCATGTCGAATCGCTCGCCCGAGTTTCAGTTTCTCCGTCTGGGCATTAGCGTCGGCCCTAATTGTGGACGAAGAAGGAGCCTGCTTTATATGAAGTACACTACTACACGAGGTCGTGTGGCAGCTGCTCCACTTCTCGTTTCATCAAGGTACATTGTTGTTAAGCGCGCCTCGGGATAATTGGCAAATGCCCAGGGGGGTCTAAAGCGGAGTATGCGGAGCGGCTTGGCCCGCACGACTTGGGTACCGAGAAACGTAAGTGTACCTAGGCAAGCACAGGGAGTATCATAGATGCTCAACCCAGTGCTTTGTTTTTTTCCATTCTCAGTTCATGAAACCGCACTTGAACTGCGTCAGAGCAAGGAAGGTGTCTACCTAATGTTGAGCCAGCGTAGGTTACCTCTCTACATGTACCTCGTCCAGGGATACCTAGCAGGTAGGTGTCGGTCATGACTTGGTGGGTCTGGTACAAGCTGTACCTTGAACTCTCATGTCCATCACAACCCTCCGTATCGCCCCATGCCGAGTCGAAAACCCACGGACAAATTACTCTTCGAGGGAAGTCAAGTCATCTCAACTTGAGCAGGGCAACAAAAGTAGCCAGGCTCTAATTAAGTTGAAGACTAAAACCTAACCGTACATTGCCGGCTCGGGATCTCTAATCGGCTCGATCATCCATGTACACCTCGCTCCATCCTCTCACCCGATAGCCTACCGCTCCCGTCTGGCCTTCCAGGCAAGTCTATTTCCGGTCCAGGGAGACGAGCAAAGAGAGCCGCTCAAGATCAAAACAGGGCGAAGGGAGAGGACTGGTTGCTGTATGCACGTTCGCCCTGAGTCGCTAGTGCCTCCTGTGTCCGGTTAAGCTCCTCCTCTTCCCGCGCCACGCAGACATCCGGATTAAAAACAACCTCCCTCCTAACCTCGAGCACGCGCATGCACGGCTCTTCAACAAAGCGGGGTTTTCCATCATCTAGGTTCCGGCAGCGATAACGCTGACAGAGATCAGCATTTCCTCGGTGGCTATTAAACCCCCTAGGGCAGAGGTGCACTTTCTGGACCGTCCAGTGCGGGTGGTACTCCAGCGTCGTGTCGGCGGAGCCCGTCGTTTCCATCCACTCATGATTGTTTTCGTCGTATTCCTTTGCCGTAACCGAGACCTGCACCGCCTTCAGGTAACGCTTCTCGCTGAGCCAGGCTTCGAGACGGGGGATCCGAAAGTAGCGCGCTTCTTCGAGGAGCGAGAGGTAGCGGTGGTGGTCGTGGCCTTTTGCCGCGTCGAAGAAGAGCGGGAAGACGCCGCGGCGGAGGTAGGCCAAGATGTGCTCGAACAGGGCGGGGTCGGCGTCAATGAAATGGGAGCCGTCTGCGAGCGCGTTGTCCCAGCGCCCGGAGAGCAGCGCCGCGAAAAAGTCGCTTTCTTCGGTGAGGGTGGAGCGGGTGGTGGTAAAACGGCGTTCGCCAACTTGGAGATGGATTGGCGCGTTGGTTGCGGTGAGCTTGGGGTCTGGGAGGTAAGAGGTGAAAGAAGCTTGGTTGAGGTTCGAAATAGTATTGTCCATGATTGATGGTGATGGGCGGATGGGATTATTTTGAAAGATGCGGTTGGAGGGTGGCGGAATCGAACCTGAACCGATGTCAGATTCTCACTCTTTGTGAAAGATAAGTTGGGTACCTAGGTACCGACTTACTGGTAAGCAGGTCGATGCCTACCCTCGAGCCCAATAGAGGGGTTATCCGGTACTGGCCAGGCTTCTTTTGTGCAACCTGTAGGAGGCTGCATGGTGTCTCGGAAGAACTGAAGGCCCTCCGGCGGGGAGGGGTCTTTTTTTGCACTGTCCAGAAGCTCAACAAAGCAAGAACGGTTATACAGATGGGACGGAATTTAACTCGGTTTGAAACCCAGTGGGCAAAATCACCGTTGGGATATTATTATTCCCTTACGCAGGTGCATGTAAATAGGTACATGACACCCAACCACCGTTCGCAACTTGAAGCCTCAGTGAAAGGATGAAGTGTAGATAGAGGTACCTACCTTACCTAGGTACCTGCGTACCTACCTGGTAACTATCAACTTGCCAGATCTCGAACGATAGTATTAGGTGCCCGGGCAACTCCGCCCTATCTCATACATGCATATATAACAACAACGCCCACTGTGGGCAAATCTCGGTGTAAAATGGAACCTCGCCGAGCTTGCCTGGTATTCTACTTCTTAGGTACACGCAGATGAGCCTGTCACATTACTGATGGTGAATCAGGAGTGAAGTTACATGCGGAACAGAAACCGAACTTAAAAAACTGTCCACGGAGTGCTATGGGCTATATGTAAGATCAGATTTAGGTATGGCTCGGAGTCTGGCAATCCAGGTAATTCGTGGCTCATTTTGTTCACCACCCACCCCCTTTGAACAATCGGTACAGACATGTGGTTGATTTACAGTTTTGTTCTTGTACGCAACCCGCTCCCAATATAGACATGATCGTGTGTGTGATTTACATAGCAGACGAGAGAAGAACTTAAAAGTTCGTCCATGAAGCTGTATTTCTTTGGTATATTCTATCTCCCTAATGCAAACACCCAGCCATGCTGACCCGGCTCGCCGCAAGGCCGGCGGTCCGGTTCACATCCGCCGCGAACCCCGACGCGGTTCGGCAACGTCTTTCGTGCACCGATTACGACGACGACGCCTGCCGGGCTGCTCTGCGCGGGGAAGCGGTGCCTTGGAACCTCGGGAACAACGTGGCTCGCTGTGCCCTCGTGAGCGGCATCCGTCTTCACGTCGAGCTTGCCCAGTCAGCCGAGGTGGGCGAACTGGAAAAGTTCTCCGGCCAGGAGATTGTTGGCCGCGCACGCAACGCGCGGCGGATCATGAGTAACAGGATCCCCCCCGCGGAGGCCATCGAGGACGAGGACCGCCACCCCTACTGCATCTGGTACCCCGATCTAGCCACCGAGGCTACCTACGAGCACCTCGCCATGAGCTACCCCGACCTGCGCTACCAGATCGGCCGCGCGTGTGCCGTCGCCGGCTACGACCAACTCTACTACAAACTCAACCTCCTCCCCGACGTCTCCATCACCGAAGAAGCCCGCGAAAACCGCACCAACCCCGGCGCCCAACACATCTACCAACACATCATGGCCGCGCCAGTCCGCTACCGCGTCATGGACGACGCCACCCTCACCATCCACCTGCACACCCCCCCCTCCCTCCCCAGCCTTCCTCGACGGCGACACCGCCGTGGTCACCACCCTCCCCACCCTCCGCCGCGGCTACGCCCCCACCTTCCACCCGGACCCGCACTACCCCAACCTCACCGAAGACTGGAACGTCGCCGAAACACCCCCGCCCACCACCGAACCCCCCCTCCTGACCCCCGCCGCCGCGGCCCTCTTCTACTCCCCGCTTCCCTCCCGACCTCCCCACCCTCTCCAAAACCCTCCTCACCCTGCACGCCGCGGCGACGGGCAACGTCGATCGCTACGCGCGCCTGCGCACGCGCGAGGTGCTGCCGCTTGGAGCGAGGGAGCAGACGAGGGGGGTGCGGTTTGAGGCGGTTTGTTTGACGCGGGGGGTGTATGGGAGTAGTGCGATGGCGGCGTTTTTGGCGGGTAGTCAGGGGTTTTTTGGAGGAGCTTGGTTTGGGGGGGAGGCAGCGGGTTATGCTGTGGCGGGGGATTCATGCGAGGAGGGTTATGGATGGTGTAGTGGGGCGGTTGTTAGTGGCGTCTGGTGAGGTCGCTGCTGATGGTAGGGGGGGGATGGCGAGGGTGATGGCGAGCAGGATGGTGGTGGGGAGGGTGGTAATGAGGAGGACGGTGATGAGGAAGGTGGTGGTGGTGATGACGATGCTGTCCCCGTCCCCGACGCCGAACTGCCGTACTGGATCTGGCGCCCGACGCACTCGCCGGCGGATGTGCTGCAGCAGCGGGCCTACGCGAGGCCGACTATGCGTTTGCAGTGCGTGCGCGCGTGCATTGCGGCCGGGTACCAGAAGGTGTATGAAGCAATTATGAACATGGAGCCAGCTGTGCTTCCCGATAAGCTGATGATGGCAGAGGCGAAGGCCGCGGGGGATGGGGGGCGGTACTATCGGAACGATCTAACGGAGCGGGCAGAAGCTCTGGGATTGAATGTAGCGTCGTTGCCGCTTTGTGAGGGGTATGAGCATTGGATGGAGGCGCCGTCGCCGTGGGAGCGGGAGCGGCAGTTGGTTTGCCCACCCCCGCGGTTTCTTAGGGACACGGAGTATGAGCTGCGGAATACAGGGGAGTCGGAGTGGGATTATGGCTTTTTTGATGGCTTTGACGTTACGCTAGAGAGCATCAACTGCTTTATAAGCAGTGAGGAGGCGTACCGGAGGGCGAAGCTCGGGTTGGGGACATAGGGGCTAGGCCTGTGACTACGTCCTGGGGCACGTACCAGCGCCGTATTGTCACTTTCAGTTCTTGGAAGACTTTGAGGGTTGAGACACAATCAACGACGCTCCGGGTTTTAGAGCATCATAATCCGTGTACATATAAAGCAGATATCCCGCGTGTAGACTCCTGAACTCATTTCTCCTCTCCGGCCTACGCTGTTTAAGCACCGCACGGTCAAGCAAGGGCCGTACGTATATGTAATATATATATGTACTCTGCAGAAACACCCTAATCAGGAACTGAAGGTGGAGGAATCTCCCTACCCAGTCTCATCCGCACCACGTCCGCCAGCCCCTCAATATTTAATTCCGAAAGCTGGTACAATTCCCTCTCCTCAAGCCTCACCAGCGTTATGTTCCGGCTGTTAGGCTCGATCTGGACCTCGCGCATAATTTGTTTGACTTCCTCGTCGCTGATTAAGCGGAAAAGGACAACGGCGCGCGGTGCCAGCTGGTCTAGCAGCCTGCGGTTCTTGGTACTACCTGAACTTACTATCCACGCGGCACTTTGGCGGCGGGCCGTCAAACTTGCCCAAGCATAGTTTGGTATTTCGCGTATAGTGTTCTCTGCTTTAGCCGTAACATAGACGACTGGAGAGTGGGTATGGGTTGTTAGTTCTTAGGTCGGGTGGTGGATGAAGCCCAGGCGCCTAGGCGGTGGTGATGAGATCGAGTGAGGAGTGGGAACTGGGAAGTAGGACGGGGATGGGGACCATCCAAGTCGGGGCGGAGGAGTATTTGGAGTTCGGCGCTGATTCCAGGCCTGATGTGGACCAGGGTGATAGGACCTCCTTTGGTGTCGGACATCATGGATATGGGTCGGTACCTACATGTAGATAAATGGTGGTTTCGCTTTACACTTGCTAGGGCTTACAAGGCTTTAGCCTTGCCACAATTACCTGTATTTTAACCCGCGTACATGGGTAGGCACACGTAAAGCAGACACATGCAATAATTATCTACCTATCCACCCCTCAACTCACTTGCCCCGTCCGGCCCACACTAGGTAAACCAAGTCACACACCGTTAAGCAGACCTAGTATACTCTACAGCACCCCCTTGATTACATGTAACTAAGACGTTCATCCAACTTGCACCGTATCGACTCCGCCAGCCCCATCAGCATCATACGTTGAGGACCCTGAAAAGCCCGTAAATCCTCCTCCGTAAACTTCAACGGTAGCACTCTGATAGACTCGGACACGGACTGAATATTTCTCATGACCTCATCGACGTCCTGGCCACTGGTCTCGGGGAAGAAGACAATGGCGCGCGGCGCCAGCCTGTCGTTCTCGTTGCGGTTTTGGTTGCTCCCCCCCCCTGCAAATCGGCAGCTCGTCGAACCTGTCCGCGTAGTATGGTGGTAGTTCGAACATGGCGTGCTGGGCTTGTAGCGCGACGTAGACTACTGGGGAGGGGGTTCGGGTTGTTAGAGCCCCTCAACGCGTAACCCCGTGTCAACAATGGCGATGGGAATTCCGTCGCCTGACATGATGGATGTGAATCTGTGATAGAGAGTGGGATGGGTATGCAGGTATGGTTTTAAATGGACCTTGGATAGTGGATCTTGGGGACAGCGGACAGGACACCAGAGCCATGCCGTGTATCTTTATAGCCGTTTCTGTCATGGCGCCATGCCTGCGGCCAGCCGTCGATGAACGGAGGGATGCTCGTCATGTCATACTCGACTGTCACGGAATGACCCCGAGGCGGCCAGGGCGGCCACAGCCGACAGCGCAGGACGCCGGCAGCCAATCGCTTAAGGACCAATAAGAACTAGATTATCACTAGTTGTCAGTGATAATGGACGATTATCACTGGTTGTCAGTGATAATGGGCGATTATCACCAACAGAGTGGTGATACTAGATAGTATATAGTCACTCGTACTGGAGAGCTCTGGGAGTTCTCCAGTTAGCAATCACAACTACAGTTCGCTACAAGCTCGAAAGCCTACTGTTGAGACAAGTCTTGTTGTGCACCCTTTGGCTGCACCGAACCTAAGCACCCTTGAGAGATTACCTTCCACCGAAGCTGAACCCTAACAGGACAGGGTCCTGAAGTAGGTTCGCCACATCGACCCCGTCTTCCCCCTCCTTGATTGTCGATTTTGACGATCTGACTTCAGCTTTCGTTGCTGGCTAGATACTATGATTAGGTTTAGCGGGGTTCTTGAGGAGAGCTGAGCTCGGCTGGTGGGGACCACATCTTAGCTGAGTATGTGGACGACATCGTGCATGGAGGCATTTCAGACGCGGCTACGGCGGATTGACGTGTACGAGGGCCTCGACTCATTGGAGGCCTATCGGAGGCGCCAACTCGCCCGGCATGATCCTCACCACATCACATCCACCGCCCAGTCAGGTGGTAGGTACTGTGTGTGCACACCATATAGTTGCTTCTTTTTCGATGGTCTAGCAATGCAAGTTGAGCCAGATTCAAAGTCCGACAGAGGACCACGTATACGATCCTGACCAGCTTGATGTAATCGTGCGGCGAGGAACACACCCGCCAGTCAAGTATGGTAGCCTAAGAAGGATATGTTGCTGCATTATGAGAATAAGTACCACCTAGGTACTAAATTGTACCAACTACCAGCTCTCGCGACGGGCATAAGATGATTAAAGCAGGTACCTTCTACCGTCAATGGCTTACCGCCCATATCAAGTACCTCCTTTTAAGCCCTGTTCCTCCCGGTTTCCCACTTTTATCCTGCTGCAGCTCGGGACCGTCGAGACGACGATGAGTGGTCAAAGAGACTCAGACAACCTCGGGACCGATGGTTTTGCCGGCCGACCTCGGGCACTCAGCCAACCGATGGCTCCCGAGGAAATCAAAGAGCGGTAGCATCGCGAGCTTTTGACATGGGCGATCTGCACAAGGTAGGGCTATGCAAGTCCGGAAGTGGCCATGAGCCCATAGCGGTGTTACGTAGCAACCCTTAGCAACCCCGCGGCCTATCCCCTTCCGCTGAATGTCTGAAAGATGAGCCCAATCACCCATCTACGCCCACCCCAGCTGGGACTCCCGGGCCGGCCACCAACGGCGCAAGAAAACCCCTTGGCGCTTGAACCCGTATACACAGGAGTCTAGACGTACCAACAAAAAAACAAGGAAAGGGCAGAAGAAACAAAGACCGCAAGCAAACCACCCGCCAGCGTCAGCCCTCTGCCTGCCGCGTCATCCGCCCAACAACGAACCAGCCCCCACCAAACCAATCTCTGGCACCAACATCGCTTATCTTGGCCTCACAATCGGCGTCGAACAGGACGAGCCGCCTCCATCTTCCGGGCGGGGGGTTCCTTGCCCTTGCCCTTGCCCTTGCCCTTGTCCTTGGCCTTGTCCTTACCCTCGGGGTCCTTTTCCTTCTTGTCGTGGTCGCCCTCCTCTTCCGACGAATCCTCATCAATCTCGTAGTCCGCCGCCTCTCCCATCAGGTGAGGGTAAGCGTAGAGCTCCAGCGCCAACCAGTCCCTAGGTAAGTGGCGCGGGGCCCGGGGCGCGCGTGTTAGCCAATATAGGGTGCGGAGTGAGGAACTTAGGGTAGAGTAGTGGGTTGGTTAAGTTGTGGGAAAGAGCTTGAGCCTTTGAGCATGGTATGGGTCTAGAACTGCTTCGTTGCGAGTTGAGCACGGGGGTAGGGTAGGCACGTACCAACGGTCCCCGGCGGCGGCGAGCAGGCCGTCGATGGCGAGAGCGAGAGTCGTCAGCTGGTTCCTGTCGCTGTCCTGCCGCACCTGGGGGGTTTGGCGCTTGTACTTGCTGCGAGCGTCGGCCATTTGGAAGATGAGCTCGGTCCTAGGTTTGGGGGGGAAGCGTTAGCGATGGGTATGGAACGGCGTGATCGGATTCGCAGTAGAGCAGGATTCCCCGTAGCGGTGAAAAAGAGCAAGGCCAGCTCGTGAAACTGTGAGGACGAGCCCATCTCCGAAGGGGTACTCACCACACTTCCGGCCCGGTGGCCTTGGACAGCTCAGAGAAGTCGGCCGACCGTTCGAGGTACTCGATGATACCCTCGTCGGGGCGGATGCCGGACTCGCCGTTTATCTTTTCGGCCACGAGGTTTATCGCACCGACCATTAATCTCTGGGCATCCCGCCTCCGCAGTCCAACCCCGCCGCCGCTTGTCACGGTGAGGGCACGCTGGACCACTATGTCCCGGCTACTTGAACGGAGGATGCGCGGCGAGCCCTGCCACCGCCGCCTGGTATGTGTACCTAATGTTAGCCACTTTCCTTTTTTGCAAATAGGCTAAGTTTGTGATAGGACGCGAGCTTAACCTACCAAATAAAACCAGCTCGCGGGAAAAAGTCAAAGAGCAACATGCGAGGGGCCGGCATTTTTATCAGACTTTCTTTTTTTTCTCTTCGCAACGAAGGGAAAGAAGATGACGGAGAGAAAACAAAAAAAGAGAGGAGAGAGAGAGAAAAGAGAGAAAGTAGAAGGACTGAATAATCTCGCCTTTTGTTGTTTGTTTAGAAAAAGAAGAGCGAAGACAAAGATGGTTGGTTGACTTGGAGGTTGCGAGCATGGATGGTCTGGGTTGGAGTTTTATGAGTGCCCAAATGCCAAGTAACCAGAGTATTTCCAGTCTAAGCAAAATACTTAATGACATGTTCATATGGTAAACCTGCTTGCTATTGATCTCCCATCGTCGCAGATCGGTGACTCGTGGAGCCAGCGCCACGAACATATTCACCAGCCCAAAGATTAACCTATCCCAACGCCCCAAACTGTATAAGTTGTTGGAACAGTTTCCCAGTGTCGAAACAAGGGAAAACTCAAAAATAAGATTCGAGTGCCAAAATTCAACCGTGTTTGTGTGTTATGCAACCTTAAGTAAGGTACGCACCCTTCCTTACCTCCCTCCCCTGGACACGAGATGGAAGGGGCAGCTGCCACCCACACACCGCCCGCCAGGGGGTTCAGCTCCGACTTCTGGGGGAACCAGCAACTCTGCACTACACTGCTAATCTGGTATTTTTTATTTTATTCTTTTGTTTTCTCATTCCAGTTCATTCACTCTTGTTACACACCGAGGAACAAGGTCCGACCGTCTCCGGATCCTGCTGGGCGTGCCTCCACACTAAATTGTTTCTGCTTCATAGTTAGAGTTTTACGGATAATTCGGGTGGAGCAACCTAGACATGATCGTACAAGTTGTTCTTTTGTCAGCGAGTTGACGGTAACATCTTCCACCTACGCCTCAAGAACTTGTTGACGATGAGGGGACAGGACTCGGTTGAGGGCATGGGCACTTCGGGTGTGAATGTCAGTTCTGCATGGCCCAACCTAGGGCAAGAAGAAAATCGTCGTCGACGGCGTCCAGCGGTCCAGGCGACGGCCCATACATTTTCTTATATGCCTGAACTAAACCCTGATTAATCTTCGCCAGATATTGTCGAAACCACCACTGAGGGTCGTTAGCGCCCAGCGCTAAAGCTCCTTGTTATGTTATTCGTATCTATCAATGATGAAGAGGCTGGCGCAAACGTTGGCCGACTTGGCATTTAGTCGAACCTCTTGCACTCGACGCGGGATCAAGTTCAGCCGCTCCGAGGATGACCGCGCCGAAACGCCAGCTCAGCCGCCGCCACAGGAAATCGACAATCTGGAGCCTTCTCCTCGCGGACGAGATACCCGTCCGACAGGCAGCGATACGTTCAAACATGGAGCCTCGGGCTTCGATACAACGACAACAATAGCATGGCTTCGAGATTCTCCCGCTTGGTCGATCGGACGAAGCAGGTATTATCCCGGGAGCCGCCCCGCACCGGCAGAACGAGCCAGGGTGTGGCGGTGGAGCACCCGCAAGGCCTCGAGGTTGTCTCTGAGGGGCAGGATCCGATCGTCGAGTATGTACATGTACGAAGTGCTTCGTACCGTTATCTATGTCCCCGCTCCTTCGTAGCTTGCTTACAACAGTAGCATCGTCGCACTGCATGGGCTCAACGGCCACCGAGAGAGAACATGGACGGCGGAAAACGGCGTCCACTGGCTCCGAGACCTCCTCCCCGAAGACCTCCCACACGCGCGCATTCTCTGCTGGGGCTACAACGCGAACACCCATGCCGCCGACCGAGTGAGCTGGCAGTCTCTCTACGACCATGCGAGAACCCTGGTGTCCGACCTGTGTAGGAAGCGAAAATTGACAAATGTGTGTACCCGTTGCCATTTATGTGCGCTAAGAGCCCAAAATGAAGACTAAGATGGCCCCCTAGTCCATCGACCGACCGATCATCTTTATTGCCCACAGCCTGGGAGGGCTTGTTTTGAAGAGTGTAGGTCAATCCGCTTGATTTGACACAGGAGACCCTCGTTCACAAGTGGCATTGAACACTACCCGTAGGCTCTTATTCACTCCGACGCCGCTCGACAGGGTGCCTTAGCCGATCACCGATCAATCAAAGTATCAACTTATGGCATTTGATTCATGGGAACTCCCCATCAGGGCGGCAACGGCGTCCAGCTAGGGCGCGTTCTCGCCAATGTAGCGTCTCTCTTCGTGGCAGCCAACGACCGGCTACTGAAACATCTCGCGCGAGACTCGGAGTGGTTGCAGCAGCAGCTGGGACAATACGCATCCATCATCAACGATTTTGTGACAAAGTATGCCTTTAAAGAGTATGAAACCCCGACCGTTCTGGGGCGCAGAATTGTGGTCCGTGATTTCGTCCACCGCCAAGGGGAAGAATGTGGTGCTAAGCGGCATTAGGTGGTCCCAAGGGCGTCGGCCGTCGTAGTAGGGCACGCAGACGCGGAGCCGATCGCTATTCACGCAGATCATGTCTCCATGGTCCGCTATTCATCGAAAGGTGACGTTGGATACATGACGGTGTCGGAGCACCTGCGGAACATGGTCACAGATGCCACAGATACTGTACAACAACGTTGGGAAGGGAAAGCAAGGGCAGATGATGGTAGGCAAGCCTAGGTAGTCATGTCTGCCGTCAGTGGGAATCAACGTTGTTTACGAACAGTACGAGGCAAAATCAACCGCTTCGCCTTATCACTAAGTCTGTCGGGAACCACCGCAACAAGTCACTTTGTCGCCAGAGAAGAGGAGCTTGCATGGATACACCAAAAGTTCTGCGAACAGCCAGGACGCTGCACTGTTGTTGTACACGGCCTGGGGGGCATGGGCAAGACGCAGCTCGCTATCGCATACATGAAGCGGCACAGGAATGACTATTCTACATCGATCTAGCTAAACGCAAGGGATAAAACATCGCTGAACCAGAGCTTCCGGCATGTAGCGGTAAGAATTCTGCAGGAGCACCCAGGTTTGAGCTACATGCAGACCGCAGTGTCGGACAAAGATGGCGATGCATCGCTGGCTGTTAGGAGGTGGCTGGACGAACCAACGAATGAACGATGGCTGTTGATATACGACAACTATGACCACCCCAAGATGGGAGGCGACGAAGCGCCGGCTGAAAACAGTAGCAACTCGGGTCAGCATGGCGAGGCGGATCAACCAGCGCCAGAGGGCTACGATATTCGTCCGTACCTCCCGGATACAGACCATGGAGCGGTCATCTTGACGACGCGATCATCGACAGTTCAAATCGGGGAGCTTCTGCGATTGGAAAAATTGCGAAAGACAGAAGACAGCCTTCGCATTCTAGAGTCGACGTCGGGTCGCACTGGAGTCCAAGACGGTACGTGGCTAGTTATTCCTTGCCCTCATTCAATACGCACGCTCCTGACAAGTTCTGCTAGTAACAGACGCTGCCGCCGTGACCCTTGCCCGCAAACTTGGCGGTCTGCCGCTTGCCTTATCCACGGCTGGCACATACCTCACGCAGGTCTCGACGTCGTGGGAACAATATTTGCAAGACTACGAGAGTGCGTGGGGCCAGCTGCAGAAGCTGAGTCCGCAACTCCTCACGTATGAGAATCGTGCGATGTACTCGACCTGGAACATCTCCTTTGCGAGCATCCGCCGCCAGAGCGAATCCGCCACGATGCTGTTGCGATTGTGGGCATTTTTCGGCAACGGAGACCTGTGGTATGAGTTGCTACGGCGAGGAGGTACAGAGGATGGGCCGAAGTGGCTCCAAGATCTCACGGCGACCCGGCTCATATTTGACCAAAACATGCGGGTGCTCTGCAGTCACGGGCTCGTGGAAGCACATTCCATAACGGCGCAAAACGGATCAGAGTCTGGCGGCTATAGCGTACACGCTTGTGTGCACTCATGGATGATACACGTCCTGAATGGTCCCAACGAGCAAGTATTGGCAGTGCTGGCATTGAAGTGTACAAGTCTGCATGTGCCAGAACAGAACATTCCGGAGTACTGGTTGATTCAACGCAGGCTTTTGCTCCACGGTGATCGATGCCGGCAATTGTTAAGCGAGACTGATAACGATGGGAACAGCGCCTGGGTATCAGGAGCCCTAGGGGACCTTTATTCAGATCAAGGACGATACAAGGATGCGGAAGAAATGTACGAGCGGGCGCTGGAAGACAAGGAGAAGGCGTGGGGACCAGAGCACACGTCGACGCTCTCTACAATCTACAATCTCGGCCTCCTATACCACGATCAAGGTCAATATAAGGAAGCAGAGGCGATGCACGAACAGGTACTACAATGTGAGGAGATTGCGTGGGGACCAGAACACGTGTCAACGCTCCACACAGTTAACAGTCTCGGAAACATTTATAGCCACCAAGGTCGATACAATGAAACAGAGGCAATGTACGAACAGGCACTCGAAAGCAAGGAGAAGGTGTGCGGGCCCGAGCACATATCAACGCTCGACACAGTCAACAATCTCGCCGCTCTCTATGTAGAGCAACGGCGATATCGGGAGGCAGAGGCGATGTACCAGCGGGCGCTTGAAGGCTACGGGAAAGTGCAGGGACCGGAGCATATCTCGATAGCTAGAGTAATTCACAATCTCGGAAACCTCTATGCGGAGCAAGGGCGATATAAGGAGGCAGAGGCATTGTTAAAGCGGGCACTGGAACGCAACGAAGAGGTGTGGGGACCCGAGCGCGAATGGACCCTCTCCACAGTCAGCAATCTCGGCCACGTCTATATATACCAACAGCGATATACAGAGGCAGAAGCACTGTACGACCGGGCGCTAGAAGGCTACAAAAAGGTGTTGGGACCAGACCACCCATCGACACTCATAACCTTCGGTAGGCTCGGCGACCTCTATGCAAAGCAAAAGCGATACGAAGAGGCAGAGGTAATATATAAGCGTGTACTGGAAGGCAAGGAGAAGCTGTACGGGCCGGGGCATATATCAACGCTCGCCGTCGTTAACAACCTTGGAATCTTCTATTCAGAGCAAGGGCGACCTGAAGCGGAGGCGATGATCAAACGGGCGCTAGAAGGCTATGAGAAGGTGTGGGGACCAGAGGATATAGCGGCGCTCGAAGTAGTCACCAATCTCGGCTCCATATATAAGGACCAAGGGCGATTTAAGGAGGCCGAAGTGATGTATGAGCGGGTGGTGGAAGGCTATCAGAAGTCGCAGGGTGAAGACGCTGTTACCTTTGTCCCTTTCTTGCATACTGTCACCGACCTGGGGGACGTTAACGCCGCGTTAGGACAAGTGGTACGAGCGGGGGAGTTATATAAGATAGCTCTTCCGGGTGTTCGACAGGTCTTTGGTGATGGCAGCGACCAGCATGAAAGGCTTGAACATGCCCTGGCTAGTCTCTCTAGCTGAACTTCTTTTCATAAAGTGGATGGTTTCTTATTGGCCCTGTGCGATTAAACTGAGGTTGGCTATTGAGTGAGCATGTTATTACTTGAGAGTTTTGGCAGTTAGCTTATCACACGGCGTGAGACTTCTTTGCACTTCTTTCTTATACTGGAAAAGAGGAAGATATGGAAGAAGTGACTCCAGAATTGGACTGCGAACTGCCAAACCAACTGTCGAAACACCAACTTCCAAGTCCAACACCTGTCAGATACAGGGAGGTAATACAAGCTCGACGAACATCTGGTGTGGACACCAGCCAGTGCCGCGCTCTGTTAAGGCGTAGGCTTGAGCTCTCGTGCCCCTTTCCCTCTCATGTTCGTGGAATATGTGTGCCACTGGAAAGACTTGATTCCGTAGTCTGACCTCCTAATAGAGACTGCCCCTGCGTCTGGCTATATAATCGCAAGGTGCAGCGCAGAAACAGAAGAACTAAAGACTTTAAACGTTACCTTGTCCCCTCCGCACTCAGTCTTCGCATTTGGGAATGCCCTCTGTATTTTTAGAAGCTTTCAAAAAACATTGTCAATACTATTAGAAGTGTAGGCCGCCTAGCCCTGCTTGCTTGAAAGTTGGGAGCCTACTTAATCGTTATGCGGAAGGCGATGGAGCCAGTGATCCGGACTTGTCATGACAGGCACGATGGTACTATATATAATTAAATCGAATATAGTCGCCTCTTCTTAACCTAGTTGTTTGCCTTACCTTTGAAATTTGTGCCTCGGAATCCTCCCTCCTCCTCTCCCTTACAATAGCCACATATATCACAAATAGATGTTTTGGTGCGACGACGGGGCATTGACCCATTCGACCATGCAGCAGAAAGTAGGTGCCCTACCCGTCTCACGACATAGCTCAACTATTCCGCAGATCCTCTCCAAACCGCCGGCCCAGGGATCGTCCATTCCGTTCTACTCCATGTCGGTTCCTCGTAGATATTAAGATGTAGGTCAGGCTCTAGACCTCGGATCAGCAAGGGTGTTTGCCACCCACCCCAGCGTGGACAAGCAGTTCCTTACCATCATCTTCCCAAACCCCAGGGATAGACGCAAGATACTCCTCCCCGGGAACCTCATCCCCAGACCCGACCACATACAAATGCGCACACTCGGGGTAAAACTCCGGCTTGAACGGAACATGCAGCGCGACCAACTCATGCCTCATCAGATACGCCCCACCCCTGAGCGTCTCGGGCACAGTCACGGCCCACGTGTTATTGTTCGCCATCAGCTTTCCCTGCGCCCACAGGCCCTCGCGCATGCCGCCCGACAGCAGGCCCGCCTCATCAATCTTGAACCAGTGCCGGCCCGTGCCGTTGAAGGACGAGCACGCGCCCGCGTCTGGCCCGCAGTAGGCCATCCACACAACGACGGCTCCGATGTCATGCGGCCAGCCCGGGTAGTAGGCTTGGATTTCGGCGCCGGCGTCGATAGTCGCGTATTCTTCGGCGTAGTCGCCGGGGTTGTTGCATACGAGGGCAGGTGAGGTGGTGTCGACGATGGGGCTGAAGTCGATCCAGTGCCGCTGGATGGAGTGCTGACCTTCGGCGGGGTAGTAGGGGAAGAAACTGGGGGAGAGCTGTTAGCTGAGGTTCTTGTCGAAGTGGCCGGTTTGGGTTCCAGTGTGTATTATGTACCCGGGACGCCAATCCCCTGCGATTGAGTAGTTCCAAATGCCGCCATGGCCGGCAACGGCAGAGGAGAGCAAGGCGATAACTGTGGAGCGTATAAAGGGAGCCATTTCAGGGACTGACCAAGGCCTTCGGGTGTACACGACTGCCTATTGTCCAAGCCGGATCTGGGGAGAATCATAAAGGTAGAAAGCCCTACTTCACCGTCAGGTTTAAGCCCAGTAGTTTCCCTACCTCCTGGAGAGCCTTGTGTTATAAATAAATTAAGGTATACCGAACCGCCCACAACCGTCGATCCCCATCAGTCATTGCAACCCAGGTCGGCACGACTCGTCTAATGTAACCCAGTTTGGGGGAGAGACAATATATCCCACCCTAATACCATGCAGGGTCATATACCGCGCCATTCGACTTTATCAGGACCTCGATGTACTCGTCCAAGCATAGATATTACATACCAAATCTCATGAACGAATGCTGAGCAAACTGTTATTCTGCAGAACAGTTCTGAATTTCACAAGTGGAACGAGAGTGACAGGACATAACACGTTCACCAAGAGCAGGCGTGCCATGGCCAGGCTATTTAGGATAAAGTATCACAACCCAACTTCCTACCTCGGTACGTTCCGATTGCAACGGCCCAGCGCCGTATTGGGCTTCGGCGAACGTCTCGGTCCGCTGGTTCCGGAACTGTGGCGCTCGTTGTTTATCTGTCTCGCCTGTAAGACGGCCTGTAGCTCCCCCGCTTCCCCCTGGACACTGCCCAAGGCTGGTGTGGCAACCTCGAGGGGTTTCGTTCAACGAATGCTTGGAAACGTGAGAAAGTCGATCCTGGTGATACTATTTTTCGGTCTTCGATAACTAAGCGAAAGAGACCAAATGTTTCACTTGATTACCTAGGGCCGTTGAACTACCATGTAAAGATCGGAGAGGATCAGTGTCGTGCCAGGATATCCGAGGACGAACATATACACATGCACCCATAAAGTAGCGTCTCCAGACCTCCCCTGGTCACACCGCCCACCTTACCTACATACCTGTCCAACCAGCACCAGACCAAGCAATCCACGAGCCACATCGGCACAGACATAAAGCAAGCCATCGCCGACAGGTGGCTACTTGACGGAAGAAAGTAAAGTAGACGCTGACGTCACACGAAGTCCTCGCCGGGCTGACATTGTCAGAGCGCGGAACCTCAAGATGTCCGGTAGGATATGAGTCATATGACTCGACTTTGGCTTTGCCTGGCAGATGTGATATAGGATGTTGTTTGTTGTAAGGTTCCGGATTTTGTGCAACGGGCTGAAACCAGACAACAACAGCTGAGTGGGCGGTTGCAAGGGGTGAGCGGAACGCGCCTCATTCGTTCCGTGGTTGGAGGGTGGCCATGTTCATTATGAGATCGGGGTGCAAAGGATAATTAATGAAAATTACCGCGCCCTGATATCCCAAAGCCTTTTCAGAACACAACACCCCAAAACAGTCACGCCAAATACCCCACGCGATGACTTCAGCATTGTATTCGGCCCGTCTATGGTACTCTACAGTGCAACACCCTCGCCGCGGCAGAAACTCCCCGCTCACCTCTCCCGCCGCCTGGGCGCCGCCCTTATTATGTCATCCACACGCAAAAGGAGCTGCAGCCGAGTTAGTACACACACCCTCCAACGACCGGCCCTCCGGAAAAAGAATAACTTACCTCTGCAGCCTCGCTGGCCGAGTTGACCACCGCGCGCTTGAGCTTGTAGCTCTCGATGACGCCGAGCTCGCGCATGTCGGCAATGCCGCCGCCGGGGCTCATCAGGTCGAGGCCGTAGGTGCTCAGGCCGTCGTAGATGGCCTTGCGCAGGCGGGCGACGAGATCGCCCGAGTCGAGACCCGCGTTGTCGGCCAGGATGGTGGGAAGCTGGCGCAGGGCATTGGCAAAGGCGGAGACGGCCGTCTGCTTCTTGCCCTCGACGCGCGTGGCCGCGCCCTCGACGGCCTTGGCCATGAGCATCTCGGCACAGCCGCCGCCGAGCGTGGTGCGCGGCTCCACGACTGTCTGCGACAACACGGCCAGCGCGTCGTGCAAGCTGCGCTCGGCCTCGTCGAGCAGCTGGTCGGTCGCGCCGCGAAGCACAATGGTGCACGCCTGGCCCGCGGCCACGCCCGAAAACTTGATCAGCGTGTCCTCGCCAATCATGACTTCCTCGATTAGGTCGCACTGGCCAAGCTTGACCTGCTCCGGGTGGTCGAAGGTGGAGGCAATCTCGCCGCCCGTGACGAGGGCGAGGCGCTCGATGCCGTCGAAGTCGGCGTGCTCGATCGACATGATGCCAGCGTCGGTAAAGAGCTGCTCGGGCCAGTTGTAGATCAGCTGCCGGTTAATGAAGCAGTTGATGCCGTGCGCCTTGATCTTCTCCACCTTGGCCTTCATCTTCTCACGCTCGGCCCGCTCGAGCTCCGCCAGCTTGTTGGTCGAGCTGACTTTGAGCTGGGCGCCAAAAATCTTCACCTTATCCGTGTCCATGGATGTGTTGGCGACAAGGATTTTGGCCTTCTCGAGCCGCTTCGGTTGGTTAACGCCAATCTTCTTGTCCAGGATGAAACCCTCGTCGAGGTATGACTCGCTGAGCTTGCCGCCGGCCTTCTTGATGATCTGGATGTTGCTGAGATCTGACGAGCCCTTCAGCCGCAGTACGGCATCGACGGCTAGCCGGGAGAAGTGGTCACGGTCCTGGGCGAGCACCTTGGAGCTGAGGGTGGTCCGGGCGATCGCTTGGAGGTCCTTCTTGAAAGCATCCGGGTTCTTGCTATAGTCCACCGCCGACGCTTCCAGTGCCGTCAATGCTGCTTTGCTGGCTATCCGGTAACCTTCGATAATGGTCTGGGGGTGAATCTTCTTGGCAACCAGCTGCTCGGCCTCGCGCAGGAGTTCTGCTGCGAGAACCGTCACAGATGTGGTCCCATCACCAACTTCGTCGTCTTGAACCTTGGAGATGTTGACGAGCACCTTCGCTGCCGCGTTGTCGAGAGCGATAGCCTTAAGGATTGTCGCACCATCGTTGGTGACCATGATCTCGCCGGTTGACCTGCCGCCCCTTGTCAGCCCCACAACCATCATCACAACCATCATCAAGCACCAGTCCGACTCGGATAACGTACGCCGACTGCAAGATCTTGTCCATGCCCTTCGGCCCGAGTGTGCTCTTCACCAGGTCACCAACGGCGATAGCACCGACGAAGGCCGCGAGGCGGGCATTCTCTCCCTTTTCCTGTGTCGTGCCCTCCTCGAAGATCTGGGTGGGGCTGAACGAAGACTGCCGTTTTTGTTAGCAATGGCTCTGAAGATAAAAAAATATCAATATAAGGAATATGGACAAACACACCATGACGAAGACAGTGTCGGGGTATCTGGAAAAACAGAAAGTCTTTGGGATGAGGTCCGCTAAAGTAACGGTCCGAGATGGCGGGGAGGAGGGGCAGCTCAGGACCAGGCAGGCGCTGCTGCAGGGCAACCGAAGCTGCTGGACTTTTTGCCCAAGCAATGGCAAAATTTCGAAGAGCTTCTCACCGCCTTTCTACAGTTGGCCGCCACCTGAAACGAAAATGTCAGGCTCACACTTTACACAGAATAAGACAAAGCAGTTTAATTCTCAAATAGTGTAGAAACTCTTGACTAAACTCGTACCCTGTTGTCATATTTGAGTCTTTGCAAAGGCTGCTCTGCATTTCAAAGCATTCCAAATAATCGTGGTAAAAGCACAATCGGCATTTGCTAAATAAACAGTCTGTGTGGGGCAATTTCTCAACTCCCAAAGTATCTGGCTGAACCCCACCAAGTTCTGCGCGCACAAAATCTCGTCAATTATCCCGACGACGAAGATCCCCAGTCCCCGCGGCAGCACAACCACATCGGCAACCCATCCGTTTTCGCAACAGACCCACGATACGGACTAGCCCGATTGATTGCCCAGCATGGCGCCGTCGTTCGATCACCTGCGCGATGAGGACCTCGATGAGGAGGATTTCGACATGGACGAGGTCGACATCTCAGATCTCCGCGAAAAATACGAAGTCCAGCTAGAGCAGGGCTATGACACATTCGTCGTTGTCGACGGCTTGCCCGAGGTCAACGCGGATCAAAAACCGAAGCTCGTCAAGTTTTTACTAAAGAAGCTCAACTCGGTCGGGAGGGTCAGTGAGGACTCGGTCTACATGCCCATGGGCGATAATGGCTTGTCGCTGAGGTATGCCGCTTCTTGGTGGAAACGCAGGGCTCTGCGACCTTAAAATTCCCGTTGCGCTGACCCGCGTAGGTTTGCCTTTGTTGAATACTCGTCGCCCGCCGAGGCCGCCGCGGCCGTGCGCCAGCTCGACTTCACCCCGCTCGACAAGAAGCACACCCTGCGCGTCAACAAGATGACCGATGTTGACCGGTACGGGCGGGAGGGCCGCATTGAGGAGGAGTACACGGCGCCCAAGATCGAAGAATTCCAGGAAAAGGAGCACCTCCGGTCTTTCATGGCGGACCCGAGCGAGCGTGGCAGAGATCAGTTCGTCATGTTCAGGGGGGAGACAGTGGGTGTGTTCTGGAACAACGAGAAGGACCAACCAGAGAATATCGTCGACCGGCAACAATGGACTGAGACCTTTGTCCAGTGGTCCCCTCAAGGGACATACCTCACATCCGTCCACGCCCAGGGCGTACTGCTCTGGGGCGGCGCGTCGTGGGCGAGGCTCAGGCGGTTCCCGCATCCCTTCGTCAACCTGGTCGCCTTCTCGCCCAACGAAAAGTATATGGTCACCTGGTCAAACCGTCCCATCTCGATCCCCGACAGCGGGCACCCCGCCCTGTCTCTCGACGACGACGGCAAGAACTATGTCATCTGGGATCTCGAGACATCTAAGCCCCTGCGCTCATTTGCGCAGCAGGATACACCAGCAACCGGCGATGACGCGGCCAAGAAGTCGGCCAAGTTCCCCTGGCCCGCGTTCAAGTGGTCCGCAGACGACAAGTATGTGGCAAGGTTGAACCAGGGCACCTCCATCTCCGTGTACGAGCTCCCCAAGATGAACCTCATGGACAAGACAGCGATCAAGATCGAGGGCGTCATGGACTTTGAGTGGGCGCCCGCCACCCCGCGCCGTGACGGCGTCAAGACATACGAGCAGCTCTTCTGCTTCTGGACACCCGAAATCGGCAGCAACCCCGCGAGGGTCGGCCTGATGAGCATTCCTTCTAAGCAAATCGTCCGGTCACTCAACCTCTTCAGCGTGTCAGATGTCAAGCTCCACTGGCAATCCGATTCAGCCTACATCTGCGTCAAGGTTGACCGGCACTCCAAGTCCAAGAAGTCGCAGGCGACAACGCTCGAGATCTTCCGTGTGAAGGAGAAGGGCGTGCCCGTCGAGGTAGTTGACACCATCAAGGACACAGTCATTAACTTTGCCTGGGAGCCCAAGGGTGATCGCTTCGTCATCATCACCACCCCCGAACCGGTTGGTGCTGTTGCCGTTGCGCCCAAGACGTCTGTAGCCTTTTTCTGCCCCGAGAAGGCCAAGGGCAACGCGATCGGAAACTTCAAGCACCTGCGGACGCTTGACAAGAAGAACAGCAACGCCATCTACTGGTCACCAAAGGGCCGCTTCGTGGTCGTTGCCGCCATCGCCAACACCCAGAGCTCTGACCTCGACTTCTTCGATGTCGACTTTGAGGGCGAGAAGCCGGAAGGCGAGAAGGACCTCACGGCGAACCTGCAGCTGATGAACACATCGGAGCACTACGGCATGACCGACATCGAGTGGGATCCCTCGGGCCGCTACGTCGCCACCTGGGCGTCGTCGTGGAAGCACGTGGTAAGCATCCAACTCCCTAACAAGACAATGACGACCCCACTGACCCGTGCCTGCAGATGGAAAACGGCTACCACCTCTACGACTTCCGCGGCGAGCTGCTGCGCGAGGAGGCGATCGAGAAGTTCAAACAGTGGTCGTGGCGCCCGCGGCCGGCGACGCTGCTGACCAAGGAGGAGCAGAAGCAGATCCGCAAGAACCTGCGCGAGTACTCGCGCGTCTTCGAGCAGGAGGACGCCGACCGCATTAGCAGTGCCGACGTCGCCGTGGTCGAGGCCCGCCGCCGCCTGCTCCTCGAGTGGGTCACCTGGCGCGAGTCCATGGAGGAGGAGCTCGTCGAGGACCGCGCCGCGCTCGGCCTGCCCGAGGACCCCGTCGCCGAGCTCCTGCGCCAGAAGACGGCGGCTATTACCCCCGCTGCTGGCGAGGAGCAGGAGGAGCAGGTCGTCGAGGAGATCATGGAGGAGGTCCTCGAGGAATCGGAGGAGATTGTCAATTAGACTGCTGTTGCTGCTGTGTACGGTTGAGGTGGGGCTTTAGGCTGAGGTTATTGGAGCCTTAGGTTCAGGCTGGAGCGCGTGAAATTCCATCCGTTTGTCCTCCTGGGCAACATTCTTCCTTCCTCTATCTGCGTTGCGCCAGGTGCTTTGTCTGGGGTCCCTGGTGAGAATGCACGGGGCTGGCGTTGCCTCTTGGGGGGGGACGGGTTCTGTGGGACACGGACGGGGGACATGAATGACATGGCGGGGCGAGGACATCAAAAGCTGGGGTTTCATCATCTGCGGGTGGTTGCGAGGTTGCGATCGTGGGAGGAGCGGTTGCATGTTATGGAAGTTAAGTATGTAGACCTTCTGGGGTAGCATGTTGTTAATCGATGTTTGTTGGTCTGATTTGAGGTCGACTGTGTGGTAAAAGAGGGGCGTGAGAGCGAAACGTAAAGTTGGTCGTGAGAGGCCGCGAGAACTGGTTGTTGGTGTGGGTTGGACTTGAAGTGGTGGGATTGCAAACAACTCACAGCTTGGGCTCCGCCCGCCTTGGTCTCTCTCGTCTTAGATGGTGGGAAACCCGAGAAGAAATGGCCTGGTCCGATGGGTTCAAGGCTTTATGTAGTCACTGACGACCTCTCCGTCTTGGCCGGAGGACAACCTCCCCGCCTCCCCTCTCGAAAGGAACTGTGAAGCCCGCCGAGACCTCTCCCCACAACCCAGTCCATGCCACAGCGGACGGAAACATGCACGCACTCAAAATCCCACGTAGCCCCCACCTCCACCCAGTCTTAGCAGACGAGTGGCCCCCATCTTGCTCGCCTGTTTGTTGCGGTATGCCGCTGTATTAGACACGCAGGTTCGGCTCCGGGTGGCTGGCTCTCTGCTACGCGCTGTTACCCGTGCCTACCCTGGGGTACTCTCCTAGTCGTAGGTTGTGGTGGGGATTGGAAGAAACGGGTGGCCTTCGAGTCGGGTGGGGGTGGTATTTTGTATATATATCTGGTCAAAACTGAAGAACCAAAGCCTCGGAGGAGTGGGGGGACTTACGGTTATAGCGAGTGACGGTAGAAGGGCACCTGGTTCGTATTGATACAATTATGTGGATGTACGAGTTCCAAACCGCGTCCTACTTTGGGTTTTGAGCCTCAACAGCCACCACGTATCCCGCGTCATTCTGTTTGGAGACAGCTCGAAGCCTCCTACAGTTCGGCCATGATGGAGTCAGCCAGGAACCGGCAGAGGTACTGACATGGTCCGGCGGGAGCGGCAATGCGGCGACCGGTACTATCGGCGACGGCTCGCCCCGAGTAGATCCGATCAAGCCCAGAATACGATTCCGCAGTATTTGCTCCAGAGGTAGATTCCCAAGCCCGAGTTGGTAAAATGCGAAACTGTTCAAGTAAGATAGTGAATGAAATCTACCGTGGGTGGTGTAATATAGTGATCCCGGTACGGTATCTTGAGTCATCCAGACTCATTGTTCTTGACAAATGCCGTCAACGGCCCGTGTCCAAAAGATATACCCGTTGGGCTGTCACTTGTCATGCCATAAACGACCGGTTTCGCGTCGCGGTCGTGACTGCAGGGGGGATGTCGAGGGTTGAGATGGAATTAGGGCTCACAACCTAGGCGTTAACTTTTCCCACCGGCAATGGGAGGTGTCCTCGTCAGACCCTTCCAAACCGCCACATAATGGCGACGACTTTTTAGTTCGACAATTAGCCCAGTCCCCTTTGTCAGTTCGGATCTCGTCCCGACCCGGCAGGGATGCATCCGAGACTTGAACAGTGCTGGGAGCTCGGGATCAAGGGAAAGCGCCTGTGGGATCTCGAGGCCGAGTATCGCGCGGCTCAAGTATCCTCTGAATTCCCAAAAGATATAACTCGACAAGAGGTTCAAAAGGCCTCTTTCCACCCAACTGTGAGCTATCCTCGGAAGGCGAAACCGCCAACTGATCCCGAGACACTCAGACGGCTGCTTGAAGCACAGAGAAAAGCCGAAGCCGCGATGCGCAACGCCTCGAAACGGTTCGACCAGGTCTGTAACGGAAAAGGCCCGACACGGATATCCACTAACTGATTTTGACAGGATCCGATTCCCAATGATACCCCAATCCGGATAATCACCAATCCTTGGCTGGCTCCCCAGTCGAAAGGACAATACTCGGTCGCTTCGGGTAGCCTTCAGCCCCCGACGGGACCACGTAATAACCAACCGAGGAGGCACTGGTCGAACTACCGGTCAAGTCACCAGCAGCCAACCCACCAGAGGCCAGCCCACCAGCAGTGGAACCACCAACAGCCGAAACAGCAGCAGCCAAAGCAGCAGCAATCGAGCCCCCAGAAGCCAAAAAACCAACAGTCGAATCCCCAGCAGGCCGGCAACAATTTGCGGTACGGCCAGGAGCCAGAGAAGAACCAGACTAAAACCAACTGGTCAGCAACCCGACCAAACCGCCCGCCGCCGCAAGACAATTCCCCAAATAAACGTCCATCAGATGGCCAATCCACAACGCCAATCACCAATAACCAGCGTCACAAGAAGCAGGATGATAATCGCCATCAAGCAGACGGCGCCACATCATCACGTCAGAGGAACAACCTGTCATATTCGAATCAGGTGAAGCTGGGAGAAAGGCAGCCCAGGGAAGAGCGGACTGCCGCAAGCCAGAAGCGGTCGGCGCAGAACAAAGACAGGCAGCCAACTCCCAACGCCAGGCGCCCGATCCAACTAAAGGAGGAGTCTGATACCGAGCAGACGCCGCACCAGTCGGCGAGGTTCCCACCCCTCGCCGCCGGGACCAACCCAAAGACCCCCGCCGGGACCCGAGCCGATGAGGCGCCTCGCCGCCAGAAGGACCGTCGACTCCCGGCCTCACTCTCGCTCCCCGCGGAAAATCGCCCATTCCCGCGCTCACCCGCGCCTTACCCCGCGGAATGCAGTCTCCAGCGGGTACCACAATCGGTGAAACATGCCCCGTTAATTCCCACCTCTGCTCCCCAACCGGAGGTGGAGGAAAGGGACGCAGCCCAGGAGGTGGCCGAGAAAACCAGCGCGCTCGCCCGCACCATAACACTGGAGGTGACAGGCCAACTGCACGCCATGCACCTCAGCATGACCGACCAGTTCCAGGCGCACAACAAGGAGATAGCCGACCAGCTCGCGAAGCAAAGCGAGCGTCAAAAAAAGCGGCTAATCAAGCTCAAGAAGCGAACCAAAGCACTTGCCAACAAGATCGAGACCCAAACCGAGATAGTACGTCCCCTCCCCTCCCCCCGCCCCAAGCCAGCCTCATGCAGCCAGTCCACCAGGCAGCCAGGTTAGCACTAACTAACACGGCTTTCTCTCACACACAGCTGGAACGGCAGCAGGCGTGGATAAAAAAGCGCTCGCGCATGGCAAAGGCGGCGGCGGCGAGCATCAAGGAAAGGCCGCGGCCGAGCCGGGCGACGGAGGAGTGGGATTACATCCATGCTCCGGTTGTTGGGTATAGTGATGACTCTACTGATGAGACTTATGCGCCGTCTAGGATCCTTGACGATAACGACGATGACGAAGAAGAGGAGGAACAGGATGATGGCAAGACTGATAGCGAGGACGAGCTCCGAACAGAGTCAATGGCACGGTATGCGGAGGATGATGTTTTGCCCTCCGTTGAATCTGGGTCCGGGTCCGAGTCCGAGCCCGAGTCCGTCGAGTCCGGGTCTGAGGAATCCGAATCTGATGAGTCCGGCTCTGAGGCCCCGCCGACTCCCCGCAAATTAAAACGGGGGCGCGCGCGCAAGGCCACGGAGCAAGACACGGGCCGGAGACCGGCCAAGAAGCGGTGTTATAACAAGGCGAAGGAAACGCCTGTGGTGAATCCTTATCTCGAGCTAATCGCTCGCGAACGGGCTCGGCCTGGGTTTTTCAAGAGAGATCCTGGTAAATGTCGTTGTAGGGTACATGGCCAAAGCCGACCTGGTTCCTGACGCCGTCATTGTGGTCGGCACGAGTTCGATTTCGCGGGCTGGAACAATAGAAATAATTGTCGTGTCCTCGCATTTCCGAGATACTAGAAGCTTGGGTCCCCGTGGCAATGGATGGTGGTTTCGAGGTGATGTTGAAAGAGGATATACGGCTTCAGCCACACGAAACTAGGGGCCAAGACTGGGGGTTCCCTTGCCAAGTCTTCGAACCGCAGGGCTGCGGGAGGAACCGCAACCAATGACCAGGGGGAGGCTTCGGGAACCCTTCCGGGGCTCTCTCCGGGACTCTCGGGGTTTCGGCGGATGGATTTTGGCTGTGGTTTTTGGGTTTTGGAGGCGGTGGCGGCAAAGCGGGATGAATCGGCTGTGGAAGAAAATGCACAAATCAAAGTTGCATCCGAAATCGCAGGAAGAGCAGGGTGGATCTCAACAAAACTGACAGAGATTCTTAGCGCCCCAACAAAAGCAATGACTCCACTCTTTCACAAGCCTGGGCATTGCTGCATCCTCCTGATCCCCGATTGGCTTCCCGCTTCCCTTCATGGATTGGATCTCAGGAACAGGCTGCATCAGGATCTTGATGCACAGGTGGCAGCTGAAAAAAGATTTTATGCAGAGCGAGATCCGAACGAGACTCGGGCGGTCCGTGGTTTGTGTCCTCAGAAGACACATCACGGCCAGCCCAACTTCGACCCAGTTTGCCGTCGAATACTTTGCCGACACGAAACAGAAAGTTGGCCGCCCCCGGTTTGGAGTAACCCCGCCCCCGCGGTTTGGGCGTGCCTTGCAGGGATTTGCAGGGTCCACTGCCGCTGGCCCCCTGCCCAAACGAACAACTTCCGTTGCGAAAACGAAGCTTCCATTTCCCCGTGCCAGTTCATAGAAAACTTTGGCCTCGTCTCCTCTCAGTTGTCGTTCCAGAAAGGGCGGGGGATCCTACGGGGCCGCGCCCTCGGCGGCCTCATCGCTTGCATTCTATCCGGCCTCTCCTTCTTGACCTCCGTGCCCGCTGGCAGGTGGCTAGCTGGTCGAAAAGATCTCTCTCAGGAGAATCGGGGATGCTGTCAGCTGCAACTGCTGCCAGACAAAAATGCACGCAGGGAAGATCTTCGATATCCAACCCAGCCCCGGCTAGCTCCATCAAGAACCGCCAATCGGGTAGGCCTCGGCAAGACATTTTGTCCAGCTCAGCTCAAGCACGCGCATTCACATGCCAGGCGACTGCGGGCTCGGAAGACGACTTGGGCCACTCGACCTCGCCGCCTCCTCACCCGCAGTCGAGGCGGTGAACCGATTCGGTCATTCTTGGCGGTCTGGCTTCTCGTGCAGCTGGCCACCTCAATTTTTGAAAATGTCGCCTTCCAGGAGGAGGCGTGTTGTGTGGAGCTGTTTGTGGCCAAACCGAGAGCGAGCTTGAAACCTCGATCGAGGCAAGAGATTGAGGGATTCGAGACGAGGTAACAAAGGCAATAACGGCAATGTAAGTTAAAAGAAGTAAGTAACTGGGAGAAAAGCGTGTTATTCTTTTGTTGCTTCAAACAACAACAAGAACCTCAGCTTCTGGCCCGCTTCGTGTTGGTGTTCCTGTGTGCCACCCAAGCAAGTTGCTTGTGCCAGTTGTTGTGCAGGGTCTGAGTTGCTCTTTCCGAACGGGACATTTTTGTAAGTGCCTGCCGTCCGGACCCATCCCAACAAATCGCTGGGAATCGACCCACGGAAGCAGGAGCACCCACACGAATTTTTCGAGTCCCTGCACCAGCGGAAAGGGCGTCTTGGTTTCTTTTCTTCGCATTGACCCCCACATCTTTCCTCCTCCCTTTTCTTTCCTCCGCGTTTGATCGTGGTTCCTCCTGACGGCACTTGGTGTGTAACCCTGCTTCAATTTCCAACATTGGAGCACGCCCAAATCCCTCCTCACCTTTGTCCTTTCTCACCACGCAACCTGCTCGTCTGAGGCCAATCGATCATCAAGCCTGAGCATCATGGCGCCCACGACCGCCACGAGCGTGCCCTCGGCTAACAAGCCGTTCCTGAGGCGGAACATGGCCTCATCCACCTTCGACTCGGACTCAAGCGCCGTTGTCTCGCCGATGGACTCACCCACGGACTCGCCCCGCCAGTCGCCCTCTTCCACCTCGCTGTCGTCGCTGGCTTCCGACGACGCCGCGGCCCCGACCAAGTACGGCAAGCTGATCGACACATACGGAAACGAGTTCCAGGTCCCCGACTTCACCATCAAGGAGATCCGCGATGCCATCCCCAAGCACTGCTACGAGCGCTCGGCCGTCCGCAGTCTTGCCTACGTGGCCCGCGACATGGTGTACCTCGGCACCACTTTTTATATCTGGAACACATACGTGACGCCCGAGTTCATCCCATCCCAGCCGCTGCGTGTGGTTCTGTGGGGCGTGTACACCTTCCTCCAGGGCCTCTTCGGCACCGGCCTCTGGGTCCTTGCCCACGAGTGCGGCCACGGAGCCTTCTCGCCGTCGCAGAAGCTCAATAACATTGTCGGCTGGGTCTTGCACTCGGCGCTCCTGGTGCCCTACTTCAGCTGGCAGCTCAGCCACAGCAAGCACCACAAGGCCACCGGAAACATGGACCGCGACATGGTGTTCGTCCCCCGCACTCGGGAGCAGCAAGCCAGCCGTATCGGCCGCCTCGTCCACGAGATCTCGGAGCTGACCGAGGAGACCCCCATCTACACCTTCATCCACCTGCTCGGCCAGCAGCTCATCGGCTGGTGGAACTACCTCCTGACCAACGTGACTGGCCACAACAACCACGAGAGGCAGAGGGAGGGCCGCGGTAAGGGCAAGAAGAACGGCTGGGGTGGCCAGGTTAACCACTTCGACCCGCGCAGCCCGCTGTACGAGAACCGTGACGCCTCGTACATCCTGCTGAGCGACCTGGGCCTGGCCATCACCATCTCGGCGCTCGTCTACCTCGGCAAGACGTTCGGCTGGTCCAACATGTTTGTGTGGTACTTCCTGCCCTACCTCTGGGTCAACCACTGGCTCGGTGAGTAGCGTATCATCCCAGACCGCAATGAAAGACGGTATGCTGACAAGGAAACGCCGTAGTTGCCATCACCTTCCTCCAACACACCGACCCCTCGCTGCCCCACTACACCGACTCCGAGTGGAACTTCGTGCGCGGCGCGGCGGCCACCATCGATCGCGAGTTTGGGCTTCATCGGCCGCCACCTGCTGCACGGTATTATCGAGACCCACGTGCTGCACCACTACGTCAGCTCGATCCCCTTCTACAATGCCGACGAGGCCACCGAGGCCATCAAGCCCATCATGGGCCAACACTACCGCGCCGACACCCGCGATGGCTCCATCGGTTTCATCAAGGCCATCTGGAAGAGCGCCCGCTGGTGCCAGTGGGTCGAGCCCACCGAGGGTGCCGAGGGCCCCGCCAAGGGCGTGCTCTTCTTCCGCAACCAGAACGGCCTGGGCACCTCGCCTGCCAAGATGGCCCCCGCTGCCCAGTAGAGGGCGTTGGGTTTGGGTCGTGTCTGCGGCGGCTCTTCTCAGATGAAATGAACCGGGCCTGCGGCAGAGCCATCCGCATTCCGCCGTCGCGTCCGGTCCGGGCTTTTGGCTCTGGAGCCGGCCTGGCCAGGGCGTTGACAGGTGGCGCGTGATGGGTGGCTAAACTGCGCTGGGTGCCCCGGAGTATTTGTAATGACCTTCATAAAAGTGTTTTGTCCCTCTTATCCATCGTCGAGTCGAGGTGCTTGGTTCTGCGTAGTAGACAGCACTTTGTTGTTATCATGTCAGGACGATGGAGCGGCGTCCCTGGGGTTAACTAGATGGTAGAGAGAGAAACAGCCCGTGCGCTAACGAATGAGACTATGGTTTTTGAATATCCTGATGGATGCGGGTTGCGCAGTGGTGAGAGTTGTCTGAGGGCATTTTGATGACTTCGGTTGCTTGCAGTCCGGAATTCGCTCATGGCCAGTTCAGTTCCATTCAATTCATGGATGGGTAAAGCACGAAGAGGGGTTAACATTCGACACTGGCTGCATCTGGACGCCCCGTCTTGTTTAAGCATGGCCATCCTATCCTATCCTTGACTGCCCGCTTTGGGCAATTGGCTGCCTGGTTCCATGTGGTCGCGTGCGGGGTGGTGAGGGGCGGTGGTGGCCGGGCTGGCCGATCTGGCCGGACTGGTCGGACCGGGTTGGATGGGCTGTGGGATCGGATTGCGAGGGTTTGGGGGTCGGTTCGGGTCGGATTTGGATCTGATCTGATCGATCGGATTCGGATCCAATCTGGCTTGTCTTGTGGTGTGTCTGTCGTCTTTGTTTATGTGGGCGGATTAGTGTCCATCGGATTGTCCGGATCGGGCTAAGTAAGCTAAGCTGGGTTGGAGCTTCTGGGTTGGTTTTGCTGGCCTGTTGGGGGTCATTTATCTGTTTCTTCCCTCTGTCTTACGAGGGTAGGCTGATTATAGGTGGTTGGTGGGAGGTAGGTAAGGTAGTGTGTGTGTCCAAGTTGCTTGTTGGCTTGCTGGTTGATGTCGCGTCATCTAAGGAATTAGGGGGCAGCCATGGAGTTCTTTGCTCTGCTCGGTCCCACGCTTTAGACGAGTCTCACTGCACGGGCTATAAGACACCCATTGGATTGCATGACCGACATGAAAGTAAAAATATTTGGCAGTGGTATGGGTGTATTCCGTATTGTTGATGCATCAGCTTGGAAATGTGCTTCCGAGAGCCGGTTGTGTTGAACGAAGTAGAGGCTCGGGGTTATAAACGATATTTAGGCGCGTCTCGAAATGTTTTGGTCCGTTTTGGCCCCATGGAACTCGCTTGATTCCCAGATTGCTCTTCCTGTCTCATGGGCCTCAACTTTGAGAACGCTAAACCTGGAAATTTGAGAATCAACACCGGAGAGGTTACACAGGAGCAGCGGAAGACTTCCAGTTGTGAGGCATCAATTGATCAGATTTTTCCCGTGCTCTTGTCTATTTCAGCTTGTAAAAACTAAGCAGACTGCAGCAGAGACGCTGCCATCTCTAGATCCCGCTCTCCGAGCCAGGGGTTGACACTTCCCACGAGTTCTGCTCCGCAGAAAATCTCGAGGTGCTATGCCGTAGACAGCCTGTTCCTTTGCCACTGGCTCAAGCCTGGTTACCCTTCCAGCCATGAGGCGGCGTCGCCATGCCGCCCGCGCACCGGAGCGTGCCCCACTCGTTGGCGATGCCCTCATCTAAGACCCGTCAGTAACAGCCACGAAATATTGTGAACCAAGGTCCGACCTAGACATACCCAGGTTGATCGTCGACTGCTTGAAGGCCCGGCTGCCCACCAGCGGCTGGCAGGCGCAGGTAAGCTGGTGCTCCGTACCGTCCGCCACCGTGCCGAGGGTGCAGTTGGTGCAGTAGTTGGAGAACTTGCCGCTGACGAGTGGTGGGTGTGTGAGTGCTGTACTTAGTTGGGGGTTGTGTTGGAGAGGGCCGACGTACTACACCTCCCACTGCATCTGGCCGCTCCTTTGATCCAGGCCGATGCACATGGTCAGGTCAAGCTCATTCTCGGATTGGGCATCGGCGCCATTGTCGTCGGGGTGGCAGCAGGTGGCGCTGAGGAAGAAGTTGTGGAACAGGTCGATGCCGGTGCAGCTGCGGGAGAAGTCGGTGAACGAGTCGGCGTCGGCAGTGCTAAGCAGAGATGCCAATGAGGCAAAGAGAATGAGGAACCACATGTTGTAGAACTGGTTGAGAAACGAGTGTGGTGTGGTTGTGACTTGTGAGAGGCGATTCGGATTTCTGTGGTCGGTTGAGGATCACAGAGTGAGGAAGGTGGGTTGAGTCTTTACTGTTAATAAACTATTCCCAGTTCCGTGCAGTGATAACTCTAGAAGTGTCACACTGGGTCTAGAAAGACAGTTCCTTCCCGCTGCAGTCGAGAACCTCTAGATAAATGAAGTGACGGCCGTAACTCACCCACCCTGAGGGGCATCACATGGGCCGAAACCAGCAAACAAGCCGGTTACATGACACTCCCAACACTGACTCACCTAGCACATTCTCTTCTTCCCTTTCCGGTATGCTCCGTACCTTCCGGAATGAAGATTTAGTGTTAGACCCAGGCAGGGTTAAATATCAAGATTTTGCAAGATCCTGATATGCTAAAGGCAGGTTGCACTGTCTCACATCAAGCTCATGTGGCATATTTTTGTCTCGAGGAACGGTGTATGACGCAATGCTCCAGCTTGCCTGTGGGCGGGAAAATAACACTCCGGACATGCTTGTTAAGTTACTGTGTAGTTATTGTGGTTCTAGAAAATCAGGACCGGGCATCTTGTCGATCCTGAATGCTTGGTTGCAACCTTGTCGCTTTCGGTATCAGACAGTGAACTGGGGAACGCTCAGCAACAGGTCCATGGCATGTTTCTTCTTCGCTAACTCGAGACATTCTCTAGAAAAACACACGGAATTGTTGATGAAATGAACTCTCAAGAACTGGTCCAAAGACCTTGAAGATGCTGATAACGGATGCCCTCTTTCTGACTTCAACAACCGCGATAGATGTGGCGGAAGAGGACGCCAAAGAATGCATTGAATATAATCCATCTGACTGGTAGCCCACCCGGGCAACTACTCAGAGTGGATAATTTACAGAAACTCTTGCTGGCTTCAAAACTCTCTGAAGCCTGAGCTCCTTAGTCGACGAGAGCATCGCTTGAGGTTTGGATGCCTCCCGGCTCGCGAATGACCCACTCCAAGTCTGCAGCGCCTGGACTGCCCTGATAAGGTTTCCGCACGGGCCACTGCATCGAGGCCCGAAAAGGAGAGAAAAAAAATCGAGAACCCTGCTGATTTTTGCACTGCGGCTTATTCCGCTCCGCAGGCAACTCTCAGAGCATGAATCCAAAACAAATCGGCCCCGCCCAACTTGTGCAATCGAGATTGCCGGTGGCCCCTCTTCATTTCCTGCCCCTGCCAAGATGTGGCTTGCGAACCAAAACCGCCACTTTTCTCGAACCTCGAAGCATGGAACATGAGAACTCGACTCGGCAAAGTCAACAAAACGGTTGGAATTGAGTCCGGCATTCGGCGCGAGGCCAAGTCAACACGCTTCGCCGACGCGGCGGTATTCTTTGGGCAGGCTTGAAACATCACAAACGCAGCGATGCGATACCACCGCAGATAACGATAACTCCTAACCAACACCACTCAGAGATCGGACGCCACAACCAACAGGGCTACTGCAGGTGCAAGCAGCGTTGTGTTGTCCATGCAGGCTGACGCGCACCACACCGTCCCATCTTGGCGCTGCAGCCACACTCGCGGGTTGTTTCCACCGTTTCAACCACCTTTTCCGCGCCTTGGACTGTGCGTTGGCAGTTGGCCCGTTGCTCGGCCGGGCCGGTTGGGTTACGCCCAGCCGCGAGGTGTTTGCTGACGAGATGTGACTGATGTTGTGAGGAACAGAGGAGGGCCTCGAGGCCGGTCGGCGGAAATGGTTTCGCAATTTGAGTTGCCTGGTCAGATTATGAAACTTCCCTTGGCCAAATCTGCTGTGGTGTGGTTTCCGCGGCGGCAGATACCTAGCTCCCGCCGCGTTGGCCGGCGAGCTAATTGACTGCCATGCTCCATGCTTTTCGAGGTTGCGTGCGAGTGTGGTGTGGAAGAAAAGAACTGTGCCGTTGGAGCGCTCGCAGCTTTGTTATCGCCCTTCGGCCAGAAATATCCAAAATAGGCTTCTCCACCGTCACTAAGGATGGGATGCGTTGCCGATCACTGTGATCCATCGGGGATGTTGACGACTCGATCAAGACCGTCACATGGATGTTGGCCATCGATGTGAGCAAAACCTTGTCCGTCGCTGCCGACCGCCGACCACCCGAGCATGAGTCCGAAAAACAAAAGGCCTAAAAGTTTGGTTCGGCCTGTCGTTGGCCTCCATATTTCGGTAGGAAGCTGTGCACCTGTGCTCTGATATCACCATTCTGTCAAACTAGTTCGTGCCTTGATTTCGCATGTTTTTTCCTAGGTTGGGCTTGTGCTGGGGAAAGGCTTCGATAGGTCCAGACCTGCATCCATCCTCCACTTTGAATTTCCGTCCCGCGCTCCCCCGCCCAGCTGCCAGTGGGCGCGCGCTAGCCTCTTCCGCCATTTGCTCCCTCTCCCGAGTCGTCTTTTTCTTGTCGATTCTCGCAATCTTGGTCGCCATTACGCCTTTCGTTCCTTTTCCTTGAACATAAACCCATCACCCTGTCGGCCGTCGCTCGTTTGCCGTTTCTTCCACCAACTTTTAGGCCGCAAAGACGCCTAACACCTGTACATTCGCTATTCTCACCGCAATCCGCCGACCCTCGTTCATCAGCGCTTGCATAAAACCACCCTAACGTTAATACCTCCCCTGACACCAACTCGATACTTCAAGATTCAATCGCTTCGAAACCGACAGTTATTAATATCACCCATCCTATCGCTCCCGCTGGCCGTTTCGTTTCGCCATAAGCTCCGCCCTTGTTTTGTACACCTGGCGACCGAATCCTCGACCCAGCGGCATTCTGAGACACGCGCTCTGGCATCCAGGGGTTAGCCGCTCGCATTCCATCTGATCATCTCGGCCTACCGATCAATCCACCGCACCACACACCTGGGACACTTGCTGCCGCGTCCACTGCCACTCTCCGGACAGCTCTTCTCCACTTCAGCCTAGGCGGAGAAACAACCGCAAACAACCACACAGCAGATCCTCAGATCACCGGAGGCAGGGCCTTCATCAGATCCCAAATCACCCACGACAAGCCGACCTTCGCAGGGCGTACCATGCCAAGATGATGATCTACGAGAGCTCCCTCAACGATACCGCCCTCCCCGGGCCCAGCTCGCCGCCGGGAATGACGGCCTCGAAATCCTCCAAATCGTCGTCGCTCAGCTCGCTTCCCTCGGACGACGACAGCGTCATTGGCGACGTCGCCCACTTCGAGGACATTGGACTAGACGATGCCCAGATCGACCCACGAGATGCGCCCAAGGCCGCCGCGAACCCCTACAACTCCTCCTTTTCCGACCCCCGAACCGTGACAAAACGACCCGCGTCGACGTCCACGCCCCGACTGCAATACTCGCGCGAATCGTCGAGGACTCGCCAAAATCGTGAATTCCCCCCCACGGCCAAGTCGCGACCGACTCTGCCGGTCTTGCAAAGCCAGATTCGGACCACCAATGGTCGCGTCGCGAGCCTCGGGCTCCTCCCCGAGCCCCACGCGAGCCCTCTTCCCTTCCGCACCCTCGGCCGCCAACCTTCTCAGTCATCCCTCAGCAAGCGCCGCGCGCCGAGCCCGAGTCTTTCCCTCTCCCCGAGCAACCCGACCTCGATGAGGCCGCGGCGGGGCAGCTGGCAGGCGAACCAGAACCGCAGGACATCATTGGAGCTGGAATTAGAGTGTGATGAGGACGACGGAGACGACATCCCCGACGGCTTAGTGCTTGACAACGTACCCATTTCTCCCAGACCACCATCCGAGCGGTCCCACAGCCGGCCCCCGTCCAAGGCCCCATCCCCGGAGCGACCGACTAAGGAGCGGGTGCGCAGTGTTGGGAATGGAACACCAGCGATTGCTGTGGCGCAGGGATCGCTTCGGTCGCCCACCTGGAAGTCGGAATCCGCGCTCTCGACAATGAGCTCCGCTGCTTCGAGTCGCGTCTCCAGCCCGGTAATGTCGAGGGCCAAGAGTTGGTCTGCCGCGTTGGCGGATTTGAACGCCGAGGCCAAGTCCCTGACGGAAAAGTTGGAGGAACATGCCGAGCACTTGGAGCACAAGATGCAGCAGCGATCAAGCACCGGTTCCATGCCGAAGAGGAGGTCATCCGATCCGGAGGTTAAGCCGAGGGTGAAGTCAGCCATGGCCGAGCTGCCCCCGCTACGCAGGTCAAATATCATGATCGACCCTCTGCCCATTTCCAAAGAGAAGGAGGCCGTCCTCTCGCGCACTCGCCCGTCATGGCTGCCCCCTAAGGACCCCGCCGAGGAGCGCCGCCACCTGAAGGAGTACCAGAAGATGATGGCCCAGAGTCTCGAAGCCGAGAAGCGACGCCAGGCTGCCAAACGCGCCCGCTCCGAGTGCCGCGATGTGGCTGCCGATAGCATTATGCAGATCTGGGAGCACGACATCCTCCCCCGCTGGAACGTCGCGATTCGCGAGCGCAGGACCCGGGATATGTGGTGGCGGGGGATCGCCCCGCGCAGTCGAGGCGCCGTCTGGTCCCGCGCCATCGGGAACGATCTTGGTCTCACCAACACGTCCTTCGAGGCGGCGCTCAGCCGTGCGCGTGAAGCCGAGAGGAAGGCCAAGTCGGGACACGGGAGCGTCGAGGACATGCGCTCGGCGGCTTGGTTCGACGTCATTAACAAGGACGTCCGGGAACGCACATGGCCCGACTTGCGCATCTTCCAGCCGGGAGGGCCCCTGCACCAGAGCCTGGTGGACGTCCTGCGCGCATATGCGATGTACCGCAGTGACATCGGATATGTGCCAGGCTGCAACGTGAGTCTACCCCGGTCATTCCTTTTCTTGAATTTCTCCAAACTAACTCGCACCAGACCATCGCCGCCCTACTGCTCCTCAACCTCCCGACGCCAACTGACGCCTTCATCGCGCTGGCCAACGTCCTCAACCGCCCCCTACCACTCAGCTTCTACGCGTCGGACGCCGGTGCCAAGAACTCAGCCTACAACCTGGTGCTGCACACGCTATCCCAGAAATCGCCCGCGCTGCACCAGCACCTCACCAAGCTCACCGCCGACCGCGACCCGGACGCGTACCTAGAGCCCGTCTTCGCGGGCCTCTTCACGCAGCACCTAGCGCTGGATGAGGCCACGCGCATGTGGGACGTGTACGTCTTCGAGGGTGACCCGCTGCTGGTGCGCGCGGGCGTCGCTCTGCTGCTGCAGCGCGAGATGGCCCTGCTGGGCACGCGCTCGGTCGCCGACGTCCAGGCCGTGCTCGGCACCGCGGCGCCGGATGCCTCCGCCGCCCTGGCCCCGAAGAGCCCGAGGGTGGTGGGCGGGAATGGGGATGACGATCGCTGGATGGCGGCGTTGAGGGATGGCGGGGCAAAGCTTGAGACATGGACATTGATATGGGAGCGGGACACGGATACGGACACCACAACGGGCGCCCTGCGTCCTAACCACCTATGCGGCACCACATCACGACATACATAGACACTCACTCACTTACACACATATACCTTATTTACACAACAACGGACAATATCGGACGTCACGAGCGGGGTTCCTTTATCGTTCCGGCTTGGCTTGGCTTCTCTTGGACTTGGCTTGGATATGGCCGTCTACTCCCGGTTCGGTGCCATTGGAATTGGATTTCGGCTTCAGGATGTGGGATAGGGAAGAGGGGGAGGGCGACCCCCATCTTTCCCTTGGTTACAACTACCTACCTACTTATTACTCCTTGGCCACCACCAAACTCTCTTTTTTTTTTTTTTCATGGTTCGCTTTTTCACCTATAACGGCATGTTACGTTACGCCTACGCTGTGGCTCTTTACGCTATGGTTTATTACCTTCATTCTCTTGTTACCCTACCTACCCGTCTCTTCCAGCAACAGAAGAGAAGAGAAGGGGGGGGGGTATTGCGCCCCGTTCTGCTTACCCGCCTGCTTGCTCGCCTGGGTCGGTTGGGTTGGGCTAGGCTGAGCGGGGTTTATTGTCTAGACTTAATATTCGACGGTGCCGCCTGGTGTGGCTGTTGGGGGTGGATGAATTGGTGTGGTTTGATAACTTTGTTTTGGTGTGTGTGTATGTGAGTGGGCGGGAGCTGCAAGCGGCATGGTGGTTGGTGAGGACATCGGGCGTAGGTGGGAGTTGGGGGTTGGGGCTTGTATACATACACCGTGGCTTGGGACAGTTACCTAGGTAGTTTTGTGGGTTGGTGGTATATAGTGGAATGAATGAGTTTGAAGCGTGCTTGGCCTTTCGTGGGTTCCGTCGCGGCTCTATTTGCCGATGGCAGTGGTGACTGTTGCTGTCTGCCATGGGTGGTTTGTCGAGTTCTGGCGAGAAACAGTCTTCTAGTGACAACAGGCTTCAAGCGACACCAGTCCTCTGACAACAATAGTCCTCTAGTGCCAGCACTCTCTCCCACGACAACCTTTCCTTGTAAGAACAACTCCCCACGGCGTTTCCAGCTCCTGATGAAAGCATCGTTTGACGGACACACATGCCTTAGAATGGCAACTGCTACTAAAAGTAAGAACACCTGCTTGCGGTAACAACAGTCACTCGCCGTAGCT